AAATTCTTTTTACGAATAAGCTATTTTCTTTAATAATTATACCGCTTTACTAAACGATAGCACTTTAAAAAATAAAGTTAGCTTTGCAAAGCACGCTTACATTATCGTCTTAAAACGCATACCGCTAACTTTTCGGTAAAGAGTTATTAATAAATCAAGCTAGCTTTTCGCCGTTATAATTTAACTAGATTACGTTAGTTTCGTATTAAAAGCTTTAATCGAAAGAATAAATTAAAACGAACTTTAAGTAATAAAAAAATTAATCGTTATCTTTACTATATCTTAGACTTAATTTTAAAAACACTTTATTAAGCATAAAAAGAAATTGTTTTTAGCATTTAAAAAAAGATTTGCTATCGTTTTAAATACTAAAGCTAAAACTTACGAAGCTAAATCTTTTTTTAAAAGCAAAAGCCGCCGAGTTAACGACTTTATAAACGCTAATAAATTAAAGGATTTTAAAAAGAGCTTGCGACCGATTAAGTTGTTTTTTAACGACTTTGATTTAAGTATAAAGATCATTTTAAAAAGTGCGAAATCTATTCGTAAATTACGATTCACAAGTTAAATCGATAACTTTAAAAGATCTTTTTCTTAGCCGGAATCTTTAAACCGCGCATTCGATAAAGCTATAAAAGCTTTAGATAATTTGCTCGAAAACGAAAACGACTTAATTAATAACTCCGGACTTTATTTTAACTTCGCTAACTTTTCGTCGGTTAAGTTTATACTTATTAACGATGTTATTAATAAGCGCAAAAACGATACGCGCTCTTTCACTCTTAAAGATGCTACTGCTAATACGTTATCGTTTAATATTAGCTTTGTTAAAAAGAAAAGACTTTTTTAGCTTAAAGAAAACGAAAAGGTTAAGAACGTAAGCACGGAAAAAGATTATAAAGAAGCTGTTAAAGCGTAATTTAAATGTTTAGATATTTAAAGTTTAAAGATAAGATACCTTTTCTTTTTTTTGTATATTAGATTTTTTTTTCTTTTATATTTCTTTTTTTTTCTTTTTTGCTTAATAATAAGCGAAAGCGCTTACTTATTTTATAAAAGAACGGATATAAACACTTTGCTTAATAAGGTACTTGCTATAGCTATTAAGGCTATACTAAACGGACTTATCTTTTATAAAAAGGCACACATCTTTTAGTTAAAACAATCAACGAGCTTTCTACTTACCTTTTCTAACACTTCTTTTGTAAGACTATAAGGTCTAGCCTCAGAGCCAGGCTTCTGTACAGCACATCTTTTTGGGTGCTTTTACAGTATAGCAAGCAAGACCGGCTGTGCAAAGCTGGGGGTGATGGGGGTTATGTCTGAGGTTATGCGGTCGTCGTGATACGGAGCAGCAGCAGCGAACACCGGACAGCAGAGAGGAGAGGAGCGGTGTTTGATTTGCGATGTGAGAAACAGAGAAAGATAAGGAGGGAGCCAACCAAAGACTATGTTCTTGTTCTTTCTTAGCTACTACTACATGTTGAACCGTACGCTCCTGAGAGCTCGGCAGTGCGCATGACATGCGATAACGCTGAGATACCGGCCGATGTAAGAATACGAACTTGGCGCTTTAGAGATAGATAGAACGTGATAATATTGCTGTTGCAAGAAAGGAAAAAATATGAAGCGGTAGATGTTCTAAAGAAGTGTTGATGTGCCTTCTCTTAAACCCAGCTCGTCATAGTTCACAACGTCACAACTGCCTCCTCTCCTTCAAACGCAGACGCCAAGAAATCTCAAGAGCCATTGCATGACAAAAAAATGTATTGAAGCAAGCTCCTCCGTGCAACTGGCATCAGATGAGATGATGTTGCTTCTCGAAGGCTTCGAGACGAAACCAGTTTGGTAAACTGTGCGGGGTCCGAATGGGCGTGTCCAGCTACCGCGCCCTGAGATGAACGCTCCATCGTTTTTTTTTCCCCTTGAACGACAGCCAGACGAAACGGTGGAATATGACCGGAACTTGAACTTGCGACGCTTGAGAAGTGACCCGGAACCTCGAGTCTGGAGCCCAGACACGTGACTATACCACTTGGTCCCTAGAGGAGGAAGGTTTGAGGCCACGGATGCGGCGAACGAACAGCGTGGGGATCCCGCTGCCGTTGATGCAGCCGCTTACTAGCAGTCGTGGATCAATCAGTTGACCCAGCAAACAAATCAAGCTTGTGGTTCGGTTCGGCACATTTCGCCTTCCAGCGTTCGAACATGCAAACCAGAGGCAATCAAACCTCACTTCTCACAACTCCACTCCATGACGAGGGAAGGCATGAAAAAAAGATGATGAAAAAAATAAAAAATAAAAAATAAAAAATAAAAAATAAAAAATAAAAAATAAAAAATAAAAAATAAAAAATAAAAAGCGAACCACAGACCGCTTCCCGGAGAACTGGAACAGCCAAAACCATTGCAAAGCTAAAGCCAGAGCAACGTGCACATTACGTTCCCGACCTGTCGCGCACGACAACTTTGCAGCGCGACCTTGGTGGTGCCCGCGTGTGGGTCCTTTCCTGCTATCCGATGACTCGGGACTGGGCGGTTGCAGATCGTGAACGGAGAAGTCGGTGTGTATTCAGCGCTGGAGGTTTTGGCGTCTGAGCGGGTTTGGAGAGTTCTGGTTGGATAAGAGACTGGGAGGCCAGATGAAGGGGGAAAAGCGCGGTTGTGGTAGGGTAAGCGCGGCTATGTAGGTGGTATTGAGATCGAGGAGTACGAAGCGATGATGGTGATGGTGTATATATATATATATTTTTTCTTTTTTAAAAAAATGCTAAGGTTTGGAAGGTTGGAAGGTTTTGCGGGTAAGCAAGCCGGACCGGGTCGAGTCTCTATGATATCCGGGTGAAAAAGGGTCATTGATAAGAGTTGGAGCTTAGCCGATTCCGATGGTTGAAAGAGGCGAAAATAAGCATAAAAATCGGTATAAGCATCAGACGAAAAAACTGCATATACAATCCTGGATTGCGTCAGACTGCTCAAGATGGGAAAAGCGGACGGAAAGGGGATCCTGCCTTGTTGCGATTGCGTTTGGCCTCGACAAAAAGAAAGCTGAGACAGCAGCAAATCACGAACGCTGAAAGTCGCGGTCAGCAGCGGTGAGGGAGTGAGGGAGTGAGGGAGTGAGGGAGTGAAGCGAGACTCGCTCGGACATTGAGAGGCATGGAACTTGGTTGGAGGAGTCGAGGTAGGGAGGGAAGTTCAAGGCCATGTTTGGTGGTCTATATTCCGTAGTTTGTGGTTTTGTGGTTGATGGTTGGTGGATTGGTGGTTGGTGGCAGCGGCGCGTCTGTGCCACCCGGGCACACTAAGTTAACGAACGACTGCGTTACCGTATTGTGGACGGAACGTTTATTCGCGTGCATAGCGGGGAGGATATCAGAATGCCAAAGGCGAGGGTTTGCTTGACAAGTCGTGAAGAGCTGGAGGAGCCGGTATAAATATGTTGGTGCGGCCAAGGCAAGCGAGCAGTTTGTTGAATCTTCGGATAGATGCGTGCTGGAACTACCGAAGGCATATGCTCAGATCATCTGTGAATACTTACTGTACCGTAGAGGCAACTTGCAAGGCATAAAAGCGGAGAAAATCGGCATTCATTAATTAGCATTTTGGATCGGCTGCTGTCAACAATCTATATATAATATATAACAAGCATCAGCTAGAGGCTCTCGAGTACCAATAAAGGATTGATTGGACTTGATGACCCGAGGACATATTGCAGCGGTGGTTGTGCTTGTCTCTGACAACAATCACTTCCTTCACTTCCTTCACTTACTTTGTACTGTATTGTAATCTCTCCTGAATCACTTCATTTGTTCGCTTGGCATTCCTCGATCACTGCTCTTCCAGCCTCCTCGTATTATTGCATGCAAGCGCGCCTACCGGTAGCTCGCCTGTTCCTGTTTTCCCACTTTTTCGCTCCAGTCCAGTACTAGTAGTTGTCAGGAGTTGTAAGGAGTTGTAAGGAGTTGTTAGGAGTTGTTAGGAGTTGTTAGGAGTTGTTCGGAGTTGTTAGGAGTTGTTAGGTAGCTGTAGTGGTTATATTACTCTAGTCTCTCGCTCTTCTTAGCAATCAAAGCGCACGGACGGGGGCTCGGTGGCTCGGACCAGCCGCCGTTTTCGACTCTCGAAGACGGGGACCCAGCCAGGCCTTAGACCTTTTACCACTCAACTGTACTGTCTTTCTTTCTTCATCCTCGACACGAATAATCAAATCAACTCAACCCCAACCCCAACTCAACTCGACCCGACCCGACTCGACCGACTTTCGACCCTCGACTCCATCTCATCGTCTGCGGCATCCAGGTTATCTGGATACCTGCATCTCCCACGCTCTACTGCTCTGCCCCCAGTCCCCCTTTATCCTGTCCCATCCGATTCCATCCCATCCGACAACCTAAGACCATCCCCATCCCCATCTCCATCTCCATCTCCATTCACCCCAAGCCGGAAGAGGAGACCAGAGAGGAGAGGGAAGGAGAGGCAGAGACGAGGCAAAGGCAAGGCAAAGGTCCTGCTGGCGACACGACTCCTCAAGAACGCTGCCAACACAACAAAACCCTCTCCGCTCTGGAACCGGCCCCCCCTTTCTTCCGCCAGCCGCATCGGTCAATCATCCGTCAATCATCCGTCAACTCGAGTCCTTTCACCGTTACATCGTGCTTGATACCCACTTCCACTTCTTTACGACCGTTTGTACCATCATCCATTTTCCCGCTTCACTGTTGATACCCCCTTCCCGTTCTTCCCTCAGGCTCACGACACCCGATAACGATCCTTTCCCGACCCTCCGAAACCACGGAAGAACCCTCCAAACCTGCATTTGAATCACGCCGGCACCCAGAAAACACCGTCAAGATTCTCCCAGTTAGCAAGCTGCATCACATTTTCTGCGGGTCAAAGACACAGATTGCGTGGGTAACCGCTTAGGTCTGCTTAACACAGTAAACCGTCGTCTTTCTTCCTTCATTCACCTCGACACCGGGGACCCAACCAACAACATCATGAGAGAAGTCAATTTTAGCATCCCCAATGTCAATAAGGCATCCGTGGGCATCACCACGGCCCTCTACGATCGACGAGCGCTCGATTGCACCTCCACCCTCCCACTAATCAACTCGCTAAATCATCTCGCATACCTTACAACGTCATCGGCTCGAATAAGAGATATCTTGACGGTCGATGGAGGTGTCGAGAGATTGGTCTGCCTGCTCAAGGCTGGGCGTAGCAAGGACATGATGGACATGTGGAAGTGGAATCTGGCTTTCCAGTGTGTTGTGAATATTGGCGTCAGAGGTTCAGAGAACGTGCGCACGAGAGTGGTGGAAGCCGATATGGTCCCAGTCATTGCTACGATACTCGACAATTATATCAAGGTCGTCGACAGGTGTCGTGAGAAAGCAGAGGAGGCCAAGAAGGCGCAAGAGCACAGAATGCACCAATCTTCACGAAACGGCGAACACAGGGGATCTCACAAAGGGGCTTCATTTGGAAATCGCCCCTCTCGTTTCGACGTGGAATTCCGGACATCTCGAAGACAGCCTCCTCCATCTATCGAGATTCCAGCCACAATCACTAATGATGCATTGACGGCTGCGTCGGACGCCATGGATACAACCCCAACTGGGCCTCTAATTACCCTTACACCTCAGCCCGAGAGAACCACATACCCTACCCCTAGACACCACCACCACCATCATCACCACCACAGGGGTCAAGACTCCAGACCGCCCTTCTTACCTCCTTCCCGACACAACATCCAGCCTTTGGTGACCGCAGTCCCCTCCATGGACGCAGCGGATGGATTCAGCGTTAGACCCGTCCGCGATGCTGAGCGTCTGCCATCCATGGTTTCCGGGTTCCATAGCGGCGTCACTTCGCTGCCCGAATCTCCGACAACTCCTCTTCCTCCCAACTCGATGCGATCGCCAACTGTGCATCCTGCATCTGCGGCAGCGCAAGTAGTCCGCTCCAGGAGGCGGCCATCAATCCGCCACCTGGCTTCGATGGTCGGTGAGCCTGAGGATCCTAATGCTGATAGCATGGCCTCTGACGAGTCTGGAGAGCCAGAGATATCTGGCCTTGATGCCGGAGATATTCAATCGACTGTGAATATTCAGGATATCAGCATGGATGAGGCTGATAGCATGCTCACGGCTGTCGAGACTCCTCTAGGGCTGACGACCCCGAGTGTTTCTGAAGCTCAAGATGCGGAAACTTTCAACATCACACACCGCTCCGCCAGCCTGATCAACGACGCCACGACTCCCAATGGGCCGAATATGGGTTTATCACCAGCCCAACCTACCGCTGTAAACACCACTCCGGCGATGCACAATGCTACGATCCCTCGATATCTTCTCGACCGACCAACCCCTACCAGCGGTCAAGTGCTCGCGGCTATGCCGAGGGATGAGGACGTTCTCATGTCCCTCCAGCTCCTCGCATACGTCTCGAAATACTGCAACCTCCGATCCTACTTTCAAAATTCGCACCTCGTTCCAAAACTGAAGATTGGTTCAGAATTGCACCTGCTCGATGTTGATGATGGCAGTCCTTTCTCCCCATCATCCTCGTCTTCCTCATCTTCTCCTCGCTCGATCCCCGCTTGTGATTCTGAGGAAGAAGAATACCTCCTCCCAGACGATTTCAACATCTTCCCTCTGGTCGAAAAGTTTACTGTTCGACATCACAGTCAAGACATGCAATACTGGGCTGGAGTCGTAATGCGTAACCTTTGCCGGAAGGACGATAGCCGTGGCGGCATCAGACAATGCGCATACTATCAGTGTGGAAAGTGGGAAGAGTTCACCAGGCAATTTGCCAAATGCCGCAGATGCCGGAGGACCAAATACTGCAGCAAAGAGTGCCAAAAGAGTGCCTGGGTCTTCCACAGGCACTGGTGCGTCGCAGCTTCAACATAGCAACACCGATGTTCAACGCATCGACTTTGACATGGCGATTTCCGGGGAGTAACGGGTTTGGGGACTAACTTGAAGCCAGGCCAGGCCTGGCCTGGCTTGGAGGACGAAAGAACGACTTTCCTAATTTAATGTCAGCAACATCACGAACGTCACATCAGCGAGGCATGTTATATTTATTACTCGAAAACACACAAATGATACCGAAATCCTAGTTTATGGGACCTCATACACGAATCCAAAACAAATTCGACAAAGCTGCATACCAGGAGGCGTTTGCTTGTTCATTCATTGATTCGAGTCATAGCGATCGATACCTTTGCTGCAACATCTTCCCTCGGCACGTCTGGAAGGAATTGCGCCAGTGGAGAGCTGGCTGGACAAGACAACAAACACGCGAAATCACCGAGGCGGCGTTTGTATCGATGAGGGACTCGTACTCGCGTATATTCGGTGGTGTCTGCGGGGAGGCATGGCATTCTTTACCTTGAGCATTTTTCATGGGCTGCGAGGGCATTCGTTGGTTTTTTTCTTTTTGCACACTTGGATAGGATGGCGAACGAACCGGCTATTCATAGGATAACCGTTTACGGGGTGGATTGCGCAGGCGGGGATGCATTGGTGGTTGATATACGAATCTTCTCTGAGTAACGAAGTTGGAAGCATGGGCACATCATAGATGATGTCTGTGAGCGGTGGTTGGTGTATTGGTCGGAGAAGGGGTGTCAATAGGCAAGAGAATAAATTGCTGATATGGGCGGATACCAAGTGCAGATGATGGGGGTAAGAGGGGGGTAGGATGTGGGGATGGATGACGGGACCGCGTATGTATGATTTATTAGGACGGATAGGGACCGGGCTCTGCCGTTGAATACCACGAGCTTCAAACATATTTTTTCTTTCTATTCCTTCCCTGCCTGTGCTTCCTTCGCGGTACATGCTTGCACTCCTCATGCCTATCCGATTTTCTACGGAATCATGTACTATGTACTACAAACATGTTTGAGGATGGAACTCGATCGAAGCCAGAAGTCCATCAAACAACTTGCTGGCAGAATCTACTATGCCCTCCCTCCCCTCCTCCGTGCCTTGATTATGTGAGGATTTAGACATGTAGGTGTGTGGACAAGGAGGCAAGTATGTATGTATGTATATGGGTCTGGGCTGGTGTGATATGAATATGAATATGATACGATATATCTATCTATCGTGCTATTATTCTGTTGTAAAGAAAGAAAGAAATGAGTGGGTGAGTGGGTGAGTGGGTGAGTGGGTGAGTGGGTGAGTGGGTGAGTGGGTGAGTGGGTGAGTGGGTGAGTGGATGAGTGGATGAATGAAGAGACATGATTGTCTGAGAGAGATGTGTAGATGTGTAGATGGTGAGGTTAGGTATGGTGAGGAAGGGGGGAAGGTAAGGTGAGGAAGGTAAAGAAGGTAAGTAAGGTGAGGAAGGTAAGGAAGGTAAGATAAGGTAATCTATAAGACCAATTAGGCTCTCCTTAGGGGAACATGTGGATAAGACTTTGTTGTTGCTGTTCTGAGGAGGGAGTGTTTAGAGGGGGAGGAGGGGAAGGGGAAGGGGAAGGGGGTATGATGAATGATTAAGTAATAAGTGATTAATTACATCCTTTGCTCCGCTTGTAGGGCTGGTAGGTACGTGGGCACGTGGGGATGGGTGGGTATTCGGGGAGAAGAGAAGGGAAGAGAAGGAAAGAGGAGGAAGGAAGGAGAGAGGGAGAGGGGGAGAGGGAGAGGGGGAGAGGGAGGAAAGGAGAAGGGGTTGATGGATATGTATATGTATATGTATGTATGCGTACGCATACGCAGCTCGCAACTCACGGGGCGTGCAGGCACATTACTTCGGATTGCAAATGCAATTGCACTTTTTCAAACCCATTTCATTTCATCTGATTCCCTCATCCAGTTCCCAGCGGGACGGCGACGGCGACGGATGCGGATGCGCATGGATGAATGTTGGCCCTACCTAGAGCCGCTGAGAAAAAAAAACCCCCGGACCAGACCAGACCAGACCAGACCAGACCAGACCAGACCAGAAGACCATGCGTGCAGCGCGAAAATCTAAAAGTACATGTGACCTCTGCATAGGCGTAGAAGGAGAAGTAGCAGCAGTAGTAGAGGAAGAAGTAGCAGCAGCAGAGGAAGAAGAAAAGTTGAAAGTAGGCCCCTCCCTAGACAGGCACGCAGCAGAAGCCTTGATAGTGCTGGCAACCTCCGAAGAGGCGCGCGAAAGAAAGAAGGAGAGTGTAGGATCTTGCCTGACGACGCAGCGAAAACCTGGATAGTAGGTGCAACCTCAGTAGAGGTGCAAAAGAAGAGAGAGCCTAGCGCATGCGAGGATGGCGAAGAGGAACGAAGAGGTCGTCCTCGTCCTCATCCTCAACCTCTTCGCCGGTTCCAGCCATCTGGGTGTCCTCGGTATCTTCCGCAGCAGCTAAAGCATTGACCTTGTCGACGATATACGCGGTGGCTGCAACATTCTAGAGATAGGTCAGAATTGTACTGTGAACCATATAGGTCTGGGAAGGGGGAGGGAGCTTACTGGAAGGGATTGAAATTGCTGGTCGGCCAGCGGAGGGGACAGTGCTTGAAGCACTGGGTCGATCATCATATCCCTATGGGATACTGGGCGCTGATACTGCTGCTGTTGCTGCTGCGGGCGTGCCGGGGCGTCATCGCTCATCTTCTGCTTTTTACTCGCCTTCTCCTTCCCGCTCTGATCCTCGTCCTGATCCTGCTCACGATCCTGGCTCTTATTCTTGCGGTTGATCTGGCCATGAGCGGCGGTCCGTTTGCGGTGGCTGATCTGGTATGACTTGCTCACCACCCGCTTCAACGTCTTCTCGTGGATGCTACCGGGCTTGATGTGGGTGGCTGCCGGATCGAGTTCCCGGAGTGCCTTGACCAGAACCGTATCCTGCCATTCTGGGCCCAACCCATCCGCAATCTCCGTCGCAAACGTGGCCACCAGCTGGAGGCCGACGGCGCGATGGGACAAGCTGAAATCTCGATACATGGAATCGGCCACGCACTCGAAGGAAATGGTTTTGTAATCACCTCGGCCGGTTGCCTTGGCATGATGTAAGAGCGCCAGAGCCGCATCGGTCACATGAATGGTTCCACCTGTTCCGACCGGGAGACCATCGGGAAATTCGGGGCTGCAATAGTCGCCGTGGTGGACCTTGTTCATGCGGAGCGGCGGAGAAGCAGAAGCAGGTAGAGAGGAAGGTGGGGAAGAGAAAGAAAGGGTAGTGATAGCGGAAGGGCTGGCGGAAGGGGAAGGAGGAGATGGGCCCAGCGGGTCGAAATCCCCCCCAATACCCAGATCGGGACATGCCTGTTGCAGCCAGCTGTAGAAGATTGTCTTCTTCAGGCTCGTACTCTCCAGCTCCATTTGCTCCATGATGACCGGAGCCATCTTCCGGCAAAGCCGGACAAGTTCATCGAGGGACGCGCCCGAACCACTGCATTGGCCAGCGAACTGTATTCATTCCATTAGTTAGTGGTGATCACAATCGCCTCTGAGAACTGAGAAATCCATCGTCACTTACGCGCTCGAGAACAGCCGTCACCTCTCCCTCCGAGTCCAAGGAACCTGTCATGTGCGCGGGATAAAAGTCCACGGCGTTGTAAATGATTCCTACTCCAGCATTTATTTCCATCATTATAGAACGGTATGCTTCTCCTGCGCGAACCTCGTAGCACGCATAGCGCGAGTGTACCCAGAGGGTCACGGGGCCCTGGGCGATTGAGTAACCAGTTATGTCTTTCACCGCAACACGAGCTCCATTGAGAGTCGCGCCGTTGCGATCCTTAGCCACTGAGATGGTCATTAGCAAGCGAACGATGTTATGGGTCGGATAGCTTACATATTTCCGCAAAGTCCTCGTCAACCTCGATCTGGCCCTCCAGGACCAGACCACCGGCCTTGATGGCGGTGAGAAAATTGACCAGTTGCTTCCCCTCATACGCCACAGCATTTGCTATGACAACTAGAGGTAGCTGCGCAGGATCCGCCACGGCTTTAAATATGTGAGCCTCGGGGTAAACCACCGACGGCGATTGAGGCTTCTCTTGAGAAGATGCCAGGGCAGTTTCTGCCTCTTCCGCACTCGAGTCAAAGCTGCTGATACTCGCACTCGAGTCAGCACGGGGCTTGCGGCCTCGGGGCATGATGACAAGAGAGGGGGGGGGAGAAGGATTTGTTTAGATCTCGTTTGTTTTCGGCTGGTAGACAACAAAGGGGCTCGGCTAAAGGCCAATAGAATAGATAACCGAAAGAGTGGTTGAGTAGGCGGTATTGGGGGTGAACTTCGGCTTAACTTCGGGTTGTTACGGAAGAAGGTAGACGGAGAGCGTGATTTCAGAAATATCAGTTGTGCGAAAACTTTTCACGCTAACGACTAGTCTGTCAGCTGACTGTGGGCTAGCGCGCATCTTGGCGCACTAGACTGGATGGAAAACACGTGCTGATAAGGATGCTTATCGTGCATCACCTACTCGCGCGGCTGAGATCTCACCTTTCAAAAAAGTTTAGGCTTTCTGCAGAGTGCATACACCACCACCACCATCTCCACACACCGGGAAATTCAGCCGCGATCGATAAACCTCAATCACTCTCTCAATCACCTATCTGGACGAATGTCCCCTGCTGTTTTTTTCAGAAAGATGACGCCCAAGAAGATCATGGAAGGCGTGTTTGGTAGGAGAGCCCTGTCCTATCCTGTCCTGTCCTGTTCCAGAGTCGGTTACTAGAGTCACTGGGCGACCGATTGCTGATAGGAGCGGGAGCGTAGCCGTCCAAAAACCTACGGGCATCTCCTCAGCCCAGGCCCTGCGCGACCTGCAGCGCCAGTTCGACCCTTCCAAGTTGTTCGCACCGTGGTTGGAAGGGGAGAGAGAGATTCGGAGCCGAGAAGCGGCTAACCAACGCAACCGACGGAAGAAGAAGCATATCCAGGTGAAGATTGGCCACGGAGGAACCCTCGACCCTTTAGCGACGGGAGTCTTGATTGCGGGGGTGGGCAAAGGAACAAAGTCACTGCAAGACTTCCTGAGTTGTACTAAGGTCTACGAGACTATCGTCTTGTTCGGCACCAGCACAGATACCTACGATCGGGTAGGCAAAGTGCTGAAGCGAGCACCCTATGCCCATGTCACCAAGGAGCTAGTCGAGGAGGCCTTGGAGCAGTTCCGGGGAAAGTTCATGCAATTGCCTCCACTCTTCTCTGCATTGAAGATGAATGGCAAGCCTCTGTACGAATATGCCAGAGAAGGGAAGGAGATACCCAGAGAGATTGAGAGGAGACCTGTTGAGGTCCTGAGTCTGGAGATGCTCGAGTGGATGGAGGGTGGAACCCATGAGCATGTTGCCCCCACCGACGAAGCTGGATATGCTGAGATCAATGTGGCCAACAAGCTCTGGCGGCAAGAGAATGCTGTCCCAGGTAGCTTGAAGGATAAGGGGGAAGGGGTGGAATCTGGGCACCTGTCCCCTCAAATCAAGACGGAAGAGGCATCTGGAAATGACGGTGATGATACAAGGCAGAATATGGTTGATGAGAAGCAGCTCGTAACACCAACTCCCGACAACGAGACTTCATCCAAGGGAGAAGCTCCTGATGGGGAGAAGGATGTTGTCATGACGGATGCTGCAGTTGCCGGACATGGTATCGACACTGAAGCACCATCCAAGATGGTGGTTGAGGATGGTGGCCAGGCCGCCTTTGAGCAGAAGAAGAGAAAGCTGAGCGAAGACCAAGATGGCCTCGTCCACGAGCGCCCCGCCTCCAAACGCCAGGCACCGCCCCCATCCACAGCAGAAACCGCCATGATGTCCGGTGGCCTTTCATCTTCCTCCATATCCACATCCCCCTCCACCGACACCGCCAAGCCTATAGCTTCCCATCTCAAGGGACCTCCGGCTGTCAGGCTCCGCATGACAGTCACTTCCGGCTTCTACGTGCGCTCTCTATGTCACGATCTAGGTGCAGCCGTCGGATCGGCAGCTCTCATGGCTGAGCTCGAGAGAACCAGACAAGGCGATTTTGAGTTGGGGAAGAATGTGGTCACGTGGGAGGACTTGGCTAAGGGAGAGGAGGTCTGGGGTCCGCAGGTAGAGAAGTACCTTGATGAGTGGCATAGCAAGTATGGAAAGGACTTTTAGATGAGTTGAGATTGTCGACGACATATGATTGTTATGGATGCGGGATGCTGGTGGTGGAACCGGTAGCGAGGAACACATTCAACAGCTGTTGGAACTCTGATAGGAGGGAAGAACCAACATTGGTGGCATAGTCAGCAAGCCGATAGGACTTGGGTTTTTATCTTCCTCTCCGTCCTCAAGACGGACATCGGTTGGTATATAGGAAGGAGTCTGGCGCCAAATCTTCAGCACAGTCGGGCGAATCGTGTAAGATGAACCAATAGGATAGATAGGCTGGGCTGAGCTGGGCTGGGCTGGCGGAAAATCACACAATAAACTACAGATAGGACGATTATGCACTTTCGTCTATTTTGTTTGGTACTATGTTTCATGTCATGTCATGTGTCATTTTATTTCTGGACCTTCACTTTCTTTTTCGCTACTCTCGCGAAACATTTACTAATGTCTTTTGATCGCTTGGAAATGTTGCGGAGTGCTTTCTTTTATTACTTGGTTACTGCCTTGGTTTAAAGTTGAGGTGGAAGTATTCTTTCGGAGAGAGTCTTTCTTTTTTCCTTATATTATACATTTTATTTTCTGCTTGCTTGCTTGGTTTGATAAGAGCCTATAGAGTCCTCGAGATTCCTCTGGCGACTGCTGACATGTTTTTATACAGATGTGCGCTCTCGCTGCCGTTCAGGCCTCATTACAACCGGCCGACGTCGATCATCCTTCTCCTTCTCATACCTATAGCAGAAAACCTCACCCTCGGCATTTAGAGCCTGTCGGAGCGTGATGACCGGCGCAATCGGCAACAGGTCAATCTCAAAGTCCAGCGTGACATTCACCCCGCCATAGTCAAAGGGCAGCACCGGGCCCCCAACCTCGTGCAGCCGCCGCGCCGGATCGACCGCCTGCCACCGCGTCAGGATCCGATCGAGGTTGCAGTGGTGGAGGTAGAAGAGCGGGTCGCCCGGGCTGTTGGAGGCATCCCCGATCGTGCCCAGCACGCCGCCGACGCCGAAGTGACCGCTGCCGTGGATGTTCGGGACGCTGGAGACGGGCTCGTTCTCGATCTGCCTCGCGAAGGCGGTGTAGTCTGCGCTGGCCAGGACGAGGTCGACGTTGGCCTGCGCCGCGAACGTGTTCATGATGCTAGGGATGAAGTCCCGGGTGAGGCATTTGGGCCCTTTGGGGTAGTTGACTGTGAAGTGGGGGTAGGCGAAGGGGCCGTCGGCGACGCAGCCGCCGCCGGTGCGGCCGGTTAGCCCAAGGGGGTTTTGCTCAGCCGTGTTGTTGCGGAAGGGGCCGTTGCCTCCAAAGCCAATGGTCGCGCTGAATACGTCCGTCTCGTAGATGGCTGTGGACGACGGGTTGGTGGGATCCGCGTCGCGGGACCAGTCCCAGTATCTGCTCGGGTTAGCGCGAAAGCTCAGAACGTCTCTTGAGATGAAGAGGCTTGCTTACGGCTGTCCACCAGTCCAGCCGCATTCGTCTCTCAGAGCTGTCTCATAAGCCGCTATAAAGTAGCGGTGCCAGAGGATGAAGAAGCCCTAGGATTCATTCAGTTTGCGGGTGGCGCGAAGCAGAGATATCGTCACTTACGACCCAGTCTGCGATGGTCAGCTTGGAAGCTCGCGGAGCGAGGGTGGACGATGCTCACGGATGTTTGGTGTCTGAATGTTATGGACAGCGTGGAAATCATCGAATCGGCTAATGGTTCCATTGATACCTGAGATGGCAGGCAGCCTTGTCAAACACTTGACGGCAGCAATATAGCGAATCTTCTCATTCCTCTTTAAGGCTCTCCACTCCTTGCGGACAGGGGGCTTCCGGCAGGTCGCTGTCGCTGTCGGTGTCGCTCTCGGTGTCGGTATCGGTGTCTGTGTCGGTGTCGCTGAGGCCGTGGCGCTGCCGGTGATCGTCGAGCTTGATGTTGTTGAGATAGAGGAACTCGAAGCACTAGTAGCAGGAACAATGCATGAGCAAGCCGAGGAAACTCGGGATGCTACATTCCCAGTGCACATCGATACTTGAAAGGTATCAGCTCCACTCTCTGTAAGGAAGGTTCTAACATAGGAAATCTTTTGCAAAATCTCTGTGCATTTCCATCGTCGCGGCCTCTTTTGGAGGCGCGGATCTCAAGGCATGGTCAGGTCTCGGGGAGTGGTTTGTTTGTGCATACCAAACGTTGGAAGCGCTGCAGCACCGGCACAAGGTGTCGCAGTGTAGGTCGGACAGAAAGTCGAAGCTTGCGCCGCATTCTGGATCATCTGTCGGTAGCAATTGTCGCGATTACAGCCTCTCTTCGGCGACGCGGGTTTCGGCGCAAAGGCCGGCGAGCGAAATCCTACCACAGCCACTGCTGAGGACAGGACGAGAACAAGGCCGCTGAGAAGCTGCATCTTGGTGACGGCGAAGGAGATTCGCAAACGACAGTGGTGGGCAAAAGTCCTTCCCTACTCCACATGGCGAGTGCGTGTGTGTATAAGTAAGACATACTCCGTGTAAATGGGCACAACAGATATCGGATTCATTCGAGCGATCTATCATCTTGTGCGGTAGTCCTCGGTAGAGTCGGTAGATAGTGAAATGTGTGTGCGTTACATTAGGGGGGATATCAAGCCCACTTGAGTACCCATCTTATTAAAATTTAAATGAACCTGTAATTCGGAAGTTCCAAAAACTAACAACAGTGGGACTCGGAAGTTTAGCGTTTTTTTTTCTCTTCCTTTCTTTTTTTTCACAGGAGATCAGGACCGCACCATCAAGGCGGAATCCTCGGCTCATGTTTTCTTTTGCAAGATCCCATGAGCCTTTCAGGATTTGTTCGGGAATAGGACGCTGACCCAGGTTGTAAAGCGATCGGAGAACCCGGGCTAATACAGGAAGGAAAGGACCGTTTGGTGTTTACTTACCATCTCGCTTCCCTTGGTGCACCAGCTTTCCTTGGATGGCGGCGCAAGAGCTGAAGCTACTCTTGCCCAGATTTAGCCAAGCGGCATAGGCCATTTAAGCGACCTCTGCCATTTGGTCGTTCCCCGGTTTCAACTTCTCCCCATGCATTTTTTATCTCTCGTTCTCAGTCGCCCGGAATAGCGGTTCCGGGAAAGCGAAAATTTCTTACATTTAAAGTAACGGTTGTGATTGGATACCAGCGACCACGACCTGGCTAGTGCGTCCTGCGGCCTGTTCGTGTTCGCAACATTTTCCTAACCGGCAAGCCGTTGTGATAGAATCCGGACTCCGTACTCGATGGATTCGATGGAATCGATCAGATACAGTAATTTGCAACTACAAACATTGATAGGACGTTGAAAGTCCAGACCGAACCATGAGCTGTGTATGAATCCAGTATATGGTGTCTTCATTTCTGTTGAAACGAATAAAATTGGCATTTGTTAACTCTCTTGTTCCGAAGCCAAAGCCACTTGAAGCCATATAGATCTTGTCATGATGAAGATCGAGTTTCCGTGAAGCTGATTAGCAATGCAGCTGTGGCTTCTCTACTTAATGGAAGGTCGTGATAGTTCTCCGTTTACCAGAGGAGCTGGCATCGTAAGATGCCAATAGATCCAGACACTCGCCACCCTCGCTCATGCCCTGTCCAACGAGGACCTGAGATCCAGTAGGAGCCAAGCAGGTACCGGGAGGTGAATACAAAAACCCTGGTGACTAGAGATTGATTTTACCAAGGGCCACATGCTTACCATGCCAATCTTTAAGCATGGTTGGAATTGCTTCTTGTGCAGGTGTCGATACTTGAGAAGCGTATGCCTATTTAGACTGTTCAATTCTCTCGCTCCATCAGTTGAAGCATGCCAGTGATAGCTCCTTTTTCCAATTTGCAATGGGATCGCTGATCACAAACGAAAATGGCTCGCGGCAGTACATGTTTTTGGCGGTGATGAGCGTCTTTCTACTCATCTCATATGTCGCCGTCACCTTGAGGTTGTTGTACCCGATCAGCATCCCGAAGAGCCAAAGCTAACCTAAGAAAGGCTGTACTGTCGATACTTCTGTCTCAAAGTCCTGGGGCTCGATGACTTCATCATAATAGGAGCTCTGGTAGCTACGACAGGAATGGCCATTCAGAATGGGTTCCATATTAGTCTGGGGACAGGGCGACATACCGATGAGCTCCCGCTGCAGCAGATCATGATTCCGACACTCAAGCACTGGTACGCATATCAGATCGTCTATCCATTCGTTCTCTACCTCGTCAAGCTCAGCATACTCGCCCTCTACCATCGAATCTTGACACAGAGAAACTTCCGGCTCTGGGTATGGGCCGTTTCGGGCTTCATCACCGTCCAGACCGTCGTGGTCATGTTCGTACAGGTGGGCAGATCCCCTCGCAGCATCCCAGAACACAGCTGAACTGTTTCGCAGGCATTCGAATGTGGATCGCGTGTAAGCGGCGCTTGGTCCCCGACTTTTCCAGAGGGCTGCAATAACGTCGCTGCGTCGTACTACTCGATGTCTAGCATCAATGTCTTCACCGACATCGTCATCCTGGTGATGCCTTTGCCGACACTAGCCAAGCTAAAAATCAACATCCGCAAGAAATGTGAGCACACCTTTCCGCCTCTTCAGCTAGCCAGCAGCTTTTGAAGGAGACTTGACTTAAAAATGAAAGTACAGGTGCCCTGATGGGCATCTTCTTGACCGGAGGAGTAGCAATCACTGCTTCGTGCTTGAGGTTCTACGCCCTCCACGTCTATGACACCACCGAAGACGTGGCGTACGATGCCATCTACGTGAGCAATTTTCCAACAGTCGTCTCTCTGCCCCGGCCGGTTCCTTTTTGCTTTGCTAACCTCACACCTTTTTTTTTATCTTCTCAAAGATACTGCTCTGGTCCCAGATCGAAGTCAACCTGGCCATCATCACCGCCTCGGCGCCTGCGCTCCGCCCTCTGTTCAAGAAGACGTTCGCCGGCTCCTCGGATCGCTCAAAGTACGGCTACCACGGCTATCCGCGGCGCAGTCACATGAACGCGGGCCGCGGCGCGGTCGAGCTGCAAGCGTATAACGGGAAGCACGAGGCTGTCATCGCGGCGAACATGGCTGGGGAAGAAAACAGTAGCCAGGAGTGTATACTTGAATGGGGCAACCATCGAGGGATCGTGAAGACGGTTGAGACGAAGGTATCTTCGGGAGCGATGTCGGAGGCTTGAGGCTTGAGGTTGAGGCTGAAGAGCTGGATCTGAGCACAGGTATCAGGATGCCTTGCGTAGATATATGCTTGTTCTTTTATTTTCTTCTGGGTTATTTTCTAATAGATATTCATTTTTCGTCTATTGGGATTTGGGAACTTGTCGCGGGGGGATCCTGTAACACGAAAAGTACGATAATAGCGACAAGGGAAAAGTATGGAATTGAGCCTAGCGCGGCATAAAATCTAATAACATTTACAACTATCTATGGACGGCTTGTTGGAAGAAAAGAGTCCACAAATCGATTCCAGGTCTCACTGTCTTACATTTTTCTGGAGCAGCGGCGAAAATCAAGACCATAATAAGATCGGTTTTCAATATTGAATATTTGATCACTTATCACTATAGAGCTCTTGCCCTTCTTAAGGGGAATGTAGGTAAAATTCAGTGCGCCGCTGACTGTCGGTTACAGTCAGGACAAGCAAAAGTGTGTAACCGAGAGCGCTCGGCAGCGCACAGCCTTCGCAGAAAAGTGCAAACAACCTCTCTAAGCGAAGGCAATTAATCAATCATTGAAAAAGTGCAAGAGACTTTTTGATTATTGATTGTAGCGCGCGACTTTTCGACCAGTCGCTCTTTCTCGCGTTTCCTACAGTAAACTCTACGAATCTTACAGTAGTTGTATAAGCTACCACGGTACAGGCGTAATTGTTACACCCTTGAGGGTATAAATACGGTACTAGTACGTAGTCTATTCCCAACGCTATAAGCGAGTCAAACTTATTTTCAACCTCACGAACCTTAGCGATCTGCTTCATACCTACTACGTACGTAGTACGTACTTCGTACTTACAACCTTACCCCCCACATGAATTCATGTCGAAAGTATAATTTTGCAAGGGATCTTACCAGGTCTTAAACCAATCAACTTAGTATAAGGATTCATTCAGCCTTGGAAAGTATCTTTGAGCCAGTAATTAGTCTGTACAATGGAGTCGACAGGGCTTTAAGCCGTTCAGAAATCACCGCTCTACGATTTATGGAGCTTATGGGTCCGACATTTGTTCATGGGGAGGGGGGGGGGGTAGTCCCTTATGAACCTTATGAGCGGATCTCACATCACGAACCTTACCGAGTCCCGACCTTTGTCTTAAAATTTTTACCGATTGTGCAATATCGACATCCCTTAAGTACGAATACCTTACGAACCTTACCGTATATCCTGCAAACCTTGCCGACTTTTTTAGAACCTTATCGATATTATCGACCTCCTTCATTCAAATCTTACTGACGACCTCTTTTCTTGCAAACCTTACCGACATATCATCGCTATCATCGATATCACTAACATTACCGACCTCACCGACTTCACCAACCCCACCGACCTCCCAAGCTGAACTAACGCATTACAAAAGGTCTAAGAGAGACCCCCCCAAATAAAGAGGGGAAAAAGAGGATAGAGAGGGAGGAAAAGAGGGAGGAGAACGAGAAGAGAGGAAGAAGGGAGGTAGCTAAAAGGAAAGGAATGTGACCTCTTATTGCCCTCCTTCCAAGCGGATTTAGCCCCCCACCTTCTTGGCTGGCTTACCCCTATTCATATCCATATGTACTCTACAGTAGCTGCTGTTTCTGAGGCTATTCTTTGTATTCCCAATCCCCTCTTCGCGCCGCACTACGAAAGCGCCGAGTTGAAAGTAGCTAATGCTGCTGATATGTGAGTCTGCAAAAGGTTGAGGATGTGAACGGGGAGGAGCAACGAGAGCAGAGTTAGCAGACGGCGTTGAAAGAGAAAGAAAGAGACGCCGAATTGTAATCAAGCCTGGGACGAGTAAAGAAGAAACATGCTGCGTGAAATTTAGGAAGTCTCACCCGAGTTCCTCTCTCGTTAGTAGCAACTTGCTATCCGGTTAGAAGTGAACCAGTGATTCGTATCTACACTCCACTACATTCCACACATAAGTAATGCACAGATCCCCCGAATGAAGCCAGCCCAGCGATACCCGGAACGCCATAATCCCCATCCCACTTTGTATTCTGTGCAACGAGTTGCAGCCTCACCTCTTCCCCGCTCTCCTTGCCTTGCCGGGTCTCTGCTTCACCACACCCTTCATCTTCTTGCTCGAGAAGCCTCTCAGATCACCGGAGCTCTGTGCGTCAGTGCTCTTGCTGAAACGCTTCTTGCCACCGTGACCGTATTTCTCGTCCTTCTTTTGGCGCTTGTTCGGTCCCATCCGGTCTTTCCTCGATGATTTACTGCCAATCTCCTCCTCGACAGCAACATCGAACAGATCAGCTTCATTCGTGGCTTCCGTACCCGCTCCTTGACGCTCTGAAAACCTATTAGCATAGCTCCCTGCAGCCAGATCACGGAAACAAACTTCTCTTCAAGTCCTTGATCTTGTCCAAAGTCTGCTTGCGCTCCTTGTCTCGCTCCTGTAGCTTCGCGACCTGGACCTGCTTGCCAAACTTCTTCAGATCTCTCTGTTTCCTAGCCTCCGCACTAGCCTTCTTGCCTGCTGCCTCATCAATCAACTTCGCCTTGATCCTTGCCATGTGCTCGTCTGCCTTGACCATCTCCGCGAAGTAGTCGGTAGGCCTCGTGAACGGCACGCCCTCTGCCTTTAACTTCTTGCGCGCCTCCTGCGCTGCGGACAGCGACTGTGCGTAAAATGCAAGCTCGCGGTTCAGATCATCCGACACATCGGCAATCTCGACCGGCTTAGACGTTGTAACAGACTGATGTTCCGAGAAGGACATTTTGGAGACAGGTAATGCTATTCGTTTGAGGGCTGCGGTGAGAGCAACGGTATTGTTGATCGTAAGGCGTTGGTGGGGGATGAGATCTTCCTTTTCTTCGTCATCCAGATCCTCGAGGTCGGACACCGGGATATCCTCGTCGTCTTCCTCTTCGGAATCTTCATTGTTCTGATCGTTCTCGCCCGCCGAAGAATCGCTGTCGCTTTCGTCGATACCGGCAAAGTCAATCTGTATGGTCATTAGATCTCCATCTCTTCAAATCGCATGGCAGAACTTGCCTTCATTGGTGCCTCAACCTCATCGTCACTACCACTCTCCTCGTCACTCGATTCAGCTCCTCCATTCTCGCCCTCCTCTTCAACATCCTCCCAATCCTCCTCTGTCGACTTGCCATTACTTTGCTTTTTCTTCGCCATTTTCTCCTTATTCAATTTGTTCGCAGCCTTCTCTTTCTTCTTCAGATGTTGCTTTCCGAAGTCGATTCCCTTCTCGGCGGCCAGGGCCATCTTGAGTTTACTTTTCGTAGGCATTCTGGCAGTATTGTGGTGGTTTGCGCAAATGTCGAGATAGAGGTTATGGGGGCAGGGGAATTGGGTGAACATTTAATTTTCAGAAGCTATGTTTTCTGCCGTCATATGCCGCCCCGGCAACGGACAAACGATCATGCGAAGACAACGACATATAACGTTATAGGCATGGCAGATCTACAGAAGTCCTTAGTGATGCCATTATTCTTCGATATAATAGCTCTATATTGAAAAATGTTATTTCATAGCCAATGTCCGGCATGTATCATCTACCTCCGTCAACTTATAAACTAGCATTGACTCTAGGCGCAACTTCCCCCCTTGTGGAGCCCCCCCAAAAATACCCGTCCTCTGTTGACTAGGAACTTTCCTTTTGAGGTTATTAAAACATTAGGAATTGACTTGGATACTGCTTGAGACAAAAAGATCTCTCAGTCCTAGTCTCTTGGTGTACTTGGCACAAGTGAAAGAAACAGTTAATTCCTAGAAGGCGTTCTTGAATTGGCCCGGTATCAAAACTGCAGATATCAGACGTCTTGAGAGCGATGGTGCAATCCCAACTATACACTTTGGCAAATCTCGTCCTGCAGCCTGCGATACCTAAGTCATCATCCCAGAAAAGACGTTGATGAGTAGACTATGTGAATCTGCGGCATGCAAAAAGAAACCCCCCAAGGTTGTTCTGCAAACATCCACTTTCAATGCCATTTGTTCCGGCGGGAGTACATGCCTGCTCAGCTGAATCCTAAACACTGTCACATATCATCATCAGCATCAGCATCCCATGACACTCAGCTAGCCTTCCTAGTGAATACACTCATATCCCGCAGAGTCAAAGGTTCTGGTGCAAGCAACGGCTCAAGTTTCGGAAGACCATCAATCTGCAGAGCGAGCCCGCCACACTCTCCACGTTTGCTTCCTCACTTCCGTGTAGCTTGAACTTGCGGGTATTGGAAGCCAAGGTATTGGAAGCCATGCCTGAATAACTAGAAACCGGAGCCCAAGTATATGTATTTCTCGCTCGTTGAAAGCCATATCTTCTGCACTACTAGCAGAAGACATGCAGACACAGGCAAAGTTGCGAACAAAAACAGGGGCAAGCTGCCATCCCTCGACGGCATGAACTTCGGGGGAGCATTCTACACTGATGCTGTCGTCCTGTAGGCATTCCTTTCTCAGCCGTGTGTCCCCTGCTTTCTCGTTGAATCTTCACAGACCCTTGGCGACTTCGGATGTCTGAAGACGGCGGGCCTAAACGGAGACTGCGGCGCCTGGCTCTGCAGATTTAAAAGAGCGACACCTTCTCTCGACACGTACAGCAGATCCGCACGCTGCTCTGTGTGTCCACGCGAGGGACTTGATGATCTCCAATCGAGACTGGAAGTAATAGCCCGGTCAGCGATCGCACTCTGAGAGAAGACGCGGCGTCTCCCGCTCTTCTGCTCGATCGTGGCATCTGTCTGTAGATTTTGCGCCGGATAGGGTATAGGGAAAAGGCGCATGATTTGCATTCACAGCAATATCCATACCCTTTCTACTGGCCCCCCCTCACACCCTGATCTCTGCTGCAGAACCGCGAACTCTATGAGTTGGCACCATGCAGAGAAAATTTGTAGATGTCTCTGTAGTCTCCGTATCTCGAGGAAGAAGCAGAAAAGAGGCTTCTAGGCCCCATGCTGGGACACAGCGGCAAAGGGGTTCGCATGGGATGATGGTCCGGACTTGAATGGTTCGGAGATCATGGAGAGAATGATTCGAATGTGCGCAAGATACAGCGGAGGAAGTTCGCCCGAGGGGCTGAGGAAATGGAGACTGCAGATTGGACGGAGGGGCGGAGGAGGCAGAGGGTATCATACTACATTGAGGAAGGAATGTTATTTTATCTTCATTACAATTTTCTCTCTCTCTCTCTCTCTCTCTCACTCACATCTCAACTTCCAGGAACCAGGTCAATGCCATTACTCAGTATCAGCCGCACCTACATCCGAGCCCTGGTACTCCATCTCAAGCTCATAGAAAGTCACGAATGAGCCTGACTTTCAATCTCCAGCCTGGACATCCAGCTCGATCTCCTCAGACTTGACCTTCTCCCAACCCTCCGCCTGCGCGGTCTAAAACGTGGAGTTCCTATCTAACCGAGCATTTCCTCTTACATTTCTTTTGTTTACGGTGGTAGTAACCTCTGTGTCCTCGCCATACGTGGCTGCTTCGGCGCAAAGGAGACGGATGGATCTTCGCTGGTATGGGGGGTTTTGCAAATATCAGAAGTTGCCTTACCTGCGCATATCATGTATAAGCCACGATCTGATTGTCTGAGCTTGGCAGAGCATATTGAAGACCACACAGCTTGGCTGCAACAATGAATGAATAAATAAATAACGTGATTCGAGGCGCCTACGTAGATATGAACCAAGTGACGGCAAGCTCCAGGCCACCATCCTGGCTCGCAGGGGGACACTTGAAAAGCGTTGAAGTGCGAGACGCGTAAGTAAGGACGGCGAAGCGAGACGAAGTAGTGCAGGCGCGTCATAGTCATCCAGTCACGATCACAAAACCACAAGACCAATATACAAGATGCAAGGATCTAATGCAATAATCGTTAACTCCAGCCTGCAAGGAATTGCTAGAAAATACGGTGGTATCATGCTCCCAACCTAGCCATGCAACGCCAATGATAGAAAAAGGAGACTATTCCAACAGACATATGCCATTGGCACTGGAAATTTACTAATCAGACATCTATCCTTCCCAGTCCAAGCTCGCAGAACCCATATTTTTCTTATCCCTCTATATCGTAGCCCCGTTGATCAGGCCACGATTTTCTCTCTGGAGAGACCTGCAAGACACAAGTTAGAGGAGTGATTGAAATTGGTGGAAGAGGAAATCTTACTTCAATTTTCCTGCTCAACAACGACGAGTTGACCTTTGTGCATGACTTGGGCAGTGAAAGGGTATTCCTCCAACGTGCCAGCAAAGACAGCTTCCTCCATTTCATAAAGGTCCTTAGAGGAGTTGAATTTTGACGGACGATCGTAATGATTGTGGGCGACAAGGGTGACCTCCTTGAGGCCATTGATGCTCTTGAACTTGCCAAGAACAACATCGAACTTTTCGGCTGCCTGGCACCACGAGATATGGACTTGGGAAACCTTGCGGAGACCAGCGGTATTTGCGTGGGTTCTGACGATCGAAGCTGCGGCCATTATTGCACGAATGTACTCATCCATGTCCTTCTTGCGTGATCCGCAGCGAAGGTATTCGAAGCTGATGATGTCGTCTTGGTAGTTGACCCAAGGGAGCGGCCGCGAGCTTCCTGGAAGAGCAGGTGCTCGCTGAAGAAACTCCAGAGCGATGGATGTGACATTTCCTAAGCCGACAGCGGTGATGATGCCTGGAATTGGAACGCTCTCGTAGTGCCACTGACACTTGAGATGACTCCAGCGAACTTTGATCACACGAGGCTTTGGCAGCAAGGCGTGGACCATGATGCGGCTCTGTATCTCAGGTGGGGAGTTCTGGTAGTCGATGGAGAGAGCGGGAGGGAGAAGAGGCTGAAGGCATTTCAAGCTTCGAGGGGCAGGCGATCGAAAATTCCCCTGGCTGATAACTGTGAACGTATTAGTGATTGTCCCGAATGTAATGGGACAGTGGAGTGCTACCTTGCTCCGCCTCGTGATCCTGGAGAACAAACTCATCATGACTAAATTCCGAGCCAAGAACGGTCATTCCAGACTCGTCGACCTCTCTGCAGTCTTCACACTTGACGTGAGCACAACTGTGGTTGCCGCAGCGCCATGGCCAGCACTCGTTGGGAGTGATGAATACCTCTCCACTACACTCACAGCATTCGACGTTGTCAACGCTCTCGCAGTAGGGGTCACGATATGGGTTAGACATGGTGACGGTATGGTATTAGCGTGCGAGTAAGGTGTGTCTTGAGAAGTGGCAGAGAGGTGGTGGTAATGAAAGAGGTGGTGATGAGAGATTTGGTATGGATGAGGTGGTATGAAAGAGTTCGAGTGAAAGGTGTTGTATGATAGAGCTGGTGAGATGAAGGTTGTGTGTTGTAGTGAGGTGAAAGACATGTCGAGGAGAGGAAGGTCGTCCTTTTATGCCCCGAAGAGTGCGAATGCTTGATCTGCCATCGACGACATTCGGGCGGTGAGCGGGAGTTCCTGATTGGTCTAAGGAGCTCCGATCCCCTGCTCTGGTGAATTCTCGACTCCTGATTGGTTCAAGGAACGCAGATCACCTCCTCTGGTGAATCCTCGACTCCTGGTTGGTCCCGTCCACGACTAGCGCGTTCAGGACAGCAAACCACTCCAGCAGCTTTTTCGAGAGCAAGAAACAGACAATATACCATACAATATATCATATACCATACGATATACCACACGATATACCACAACACTACACCATCCAAGATACAAGCCACGATCAGTCACCACTGATCTTGGCGTGCCTGAAATACTTCATACCCACCCAGGCGACGACAACCCAGACCCAGGCCATCACCGAGGTCAGGATGATCAAGGCAGGGTAGTAGCCGACGATTGGCAGGGTAGGATCATCTTCCAGCTCAGGAGGAGCATAAGGTGTCTCTCCGACGTCCCATGCCCAGCTCCAGACTCCGAGGCAAGAGCCCATGCCAGTGACGAACACGATCCAAGTAACGATAAGCACCACCCACCCCCACCACTCTGTCTCCGAGTAGTCCCATTCCTCGTGCTGCACCGGCAGAGGGCTGGTGGGAAGCCCGCTGAGAGACAACGGAGACTTGGCCTTCTGCGCAGATCGTCGGCGAGTAAGAGAGCCAGAAGTTGGGGGGAAATATGAGTCTGCGGCAGAAGGGAGCGGGCCAGGTCGTGCTGTTGGGGGGCCACGATTCCTCATACTGAAAATTTCGTCTTCGTCGGTCGTAGATGTATAAGTAAGAGTTGGACTTGTCGCTGTCGTTGATGAGGTCAGAAAGTGGTCTTCAGAACCCATGGGCAGTGTTTTGATGGCCGGTAGTAAAACATTGTTGGCTCGATTGGCATAACCTTCCATCGAAGGACGAGGTGTTACATCAGGGAGACTGAGGCCTAGGCCAAAGCCTGATGTATGGGGCACTTCTTTAGGGGATTCTGGGCTCAAGGAGCCGTCGCCAACATCGCTAAGATCAAGGCCAGTCTCCAGTGGGGATGCTTTGAGCTCTTTCTTTTCTCTTTGAGCCCCACGGCCAAGTAATGCCGCTTTTCTCAAAGAGCCTTTTCTTCTTCTCGTCTTGTGTTGCTGGACGGCAACAGCCATGGCCCTGCCAGTCTTCTTTGGCAATATCCTATCGTCACCAGGCAGGAACTCGGGACTCTGTCGAGTCCTATCAACTAGTAGTTGGTCGTCATCGGCGCTGGCTCTGAGAAACGATAACTTTGACATGATACTCCCAGAAAGGCTTCTTCTGTGTCCTGGTGAGGTGTCTTCTTTTTCAGGATGAGGTTTAGCGTCTTTCGAGTGGTTGTCACTCTTCCCATTGAAGGATTGGTGGGGTTGGTGGTCCATTTCGTCTTGTTTGTTAGGGGTATTTGCGTTTTGGTGAAGCATGTCCAAGTCTCTGGGAAGAAAGGTGCGCTTGAGGGGCTCATCCAGCAAGAGCGAACGATGAATGCCCGAATCCTAGGACACAAGAAGTGGTTGACTGATAGACAACAAGTGTTGATGCAGGCTTTACCTGAAGCCTCCTAGAAATTGTTAGCTTGGCCCATCTTAGTGTAGTGATCAAACGGCTACAAGTTGAGTGGGCATGGAAAGCTCACCAGCTCAATATCACGGTCAATGCCAGGAATTTGCTTATAGGTTTCTTCGGCTAGAATCCTTCTCAAGCTATAGTCTCGAAGAGAGCAGTCTGTTTCAAGCGAGTGGCTATAACAACAGTCTCTTAGAGACTTTGGATCCGCGGGATAATTGGGTGCTTGAAAGGCTGTCTTTGACAAACACAGGAATCCACAGGGGTGCTGAGAAGAGTATCAGCATCTATCATTCATCATCCATGATTGGGCTGAGGTGAGTCAACTATAGGTGCGTGATGGGAAATTGGTGGGAAAAAAAGGCTTCTTGGTTGTATACAATATCAACAACCCACTTACCTGAAGACTGATGATCCAACCAACCTTGGCAGAGTCGAGTGGCTGTGCACGCTATCGGTGTCAACATCAAAAAAGGTCAAGCTGGCGGCGACATCTAGTAAAAGGGCCTGAGTATATCAGTTAGACCAATTCGAAGGGAGCAATAACAGAAGGTAGTCCCTTTGATTTGAGATCTCAAAATTCCTAGCCTTCAATTTCTCTCCACTCCTCGCTGGCTGTCAGGCCCGCAGAGGGGCGACGCAACGCCTTCGAGAACTTCTTCTCTCGAGTCGCCGATGATCAATTGATCCGCGGTTCGAAGGGGATGTAGGCAAGACCGGGGTATATGTGTTGCATGGCCAGGAGATTACGACACGTTATAGTCCTAGTCCCCGAGTCGAGATCTCTCTATGAATCTCCAAAGCCAAACAAAGCCCACAGACAAGATAATAATACGGCTGCCGAGCTATTGCGATACGGGAAAGACTGTCTTTCTTTGCATTGAGGCGTGGTCGGTGGCTGTGGATAGATGGAGATGTACTCTGTATGAGATGCGATTGAAATAAAGTTGCCCACTAAGGCAGCTTCCCGCAAATGTCAACAATTACTTAGCCCATGTCAACATTGGCTTCCAATCTCCACTCCTACTCCTCTCCTCGAGTCGCGAACGTCCATCTCCCCACCCGCTGTTGCAGATTGTGCCGCATCTTATACAGTCAGTAAGACAGCAATGCAGCCCTTGAACCTACCCATCCCCCGTCCCCCGCGGACCCCCAGCCCGCCGACCCCTATCCAGGAAGAGCCCGAAGATGGCGGCCTCGGGATCGGTGGAGGTCCTCGAACAGTGCACTCGACCATCACCTTCGCCTCCAGATCTCTCACTCCCTCTCCTATTATGGGCGACGCTTTCCCCAGCCATTTCGGATCCATGGCCTCTCCAATGCCGTCCTCTGCTGGCCTAGGAACACCCTCTCATGGCTCAGATATGGGATTGAGCCCTAGATTCCCAGTAGCAGGACCCAGGAGCCCTTTTAACTTCCAGACACAGTCGATCAAAGATGTGCCCGCGATGGCAAACTCAGTAAATGACAACTATTTTCTATCACCAGACAGAGTAAATTGGTCGCCCCAGCTAACCGAACAAAAGGCAAGCAAACGAAGAGGTCACAGATACAAGCATTCGAGCGTGTCTACCCAGCATCAAATCTTCCTCGAGCCGCCCCCACGCGCCCCTCTTGCGCTTCCCGCTTCCCTTCCGATTCCCACATATACAGAGGCATGGAAAAGCAGGTCCGCAGAGCAATCGAAGCGGACGGTTTGGTGTTTTTGCCACGTCCTGACCGCAGGTTACGTTCTGTGGTCCGCAGAAGGCTCTCTTTCCCTCACAGCGCTCTCCCACCTCATATTCTTCGACGCCGTGTCCGCCACCATCTGCGTGGTAGTCGACGTGCTCGGCAACTTCCAAGTCTGGAGGTGTTCTTCGATTCGGCACCCCTTCGGCCTAGAGCGCACCGAAGTCCTGGCCGGCTTCGCCATGTCCGTCTTCCTGCTCTTCATGTCCTTCGATCTCATATCTCATAACCTTAAACACGTCCTAGAAGGCCTAGGCACACATAAGCCTCACCACGCGCACTCACACGAGCGAGTATCGTCTGGCTCTGTGGACTCAGCCGCTCTGCTTTCCATAATCGCTACGCTAATTTCAGCCTATGGTCTCAAGAACCACGCCCGGATCGGAAAAGCTATGCGCTTCTCAGCCTTTTCCTGGCTCCCAGGCATGCTCTCCAACCCCTCTCACCTCCTGACCCTGTCTTGCAGTACGGTTATGCTTCTTCTTCCCCTCCTCCCCATCACACTTTACATCTGGCTCGACCGCCTTTTCTGCGCCATCATAGCCATATCTATGTTCTTCCTCGGCGTCCGGCTTGCGGTCACGCAAGGCCTGATGCTGCTGATGTCCTACTCTGGCGAAGGCGTCAGCGATGTCATGCGCGAGATCCACAAAGAGCCCATGATCACCCAAGTCGAAGAGGCCAGGTTCTGGCAAGTCCACTACGGCTTATGCATGGCGAATCTTAAGCTGAGGGTCAGAGGCGATGAAATTGCACTGGCAAAGCTGAAAGATAGGATCAACATGCTGGTTAAGAACAGACTGGGCGGGGGCTACGGCAAGGGAGGAGGCATGAAGTGGGAGGTTACCACACAGCTAACGATTGATAAATGAATTTCACAAAGGGAAGAGGTAAATTTGGCTCCGGTGTCAGGCTAGCTTTATACATCTCTTGTATTTTGCGGATCTTGGGTCATGAGAGGTCATGCATCTGCAGCTATCTGCGGTGCCGTGCGGTCGGCATTGCCTCCATCATTATCTGGAGCATGCCCACAGAATTCACGCTTGCCAGTTTCTTTTGTACGATAGAATAAAATGCACACATATACTGATCAGCATAGGATCTGGCGAAGCATTTTGCGAGGTTCTCGAACACCCGCTAAATGATTATTGTGACTTTCCCATTTCACTTCACGTCATATGAGTAGTCCAAGAGGTTTCAATACTGCAGTTGAGCAGAAATATACATACATGCATGTGTGTGTGTGTGTGTGTCTCTGCCGGGCTACTCGGGACAAGAGGATGTGAACGGGGTGTGGTGAACGCAAACAACGCAAAACGCAAAACGCAAAACATGGTGATATCATCATGGCCACGCCAAAAGCCCCTTTCTCTCAGCCCATACAAATTTCCAAACCAACCAGCCCTTTATCCCGCGCTAGCAATCAAGTAATCAAGCGACCAAACGCCTGCCAATGTTTGTTGTGTGGCATGAGCCGTAACCTCTACTCCAGTTTACTCCCCAAATATCAGGTCGATTGAGTGGATGTATGGGGTATGAGAGTTCTAAAATAAACCCCATCCCTTCCTCGCTACTCCCTCTTTTCCCCTGCTCACGGGGTCATCCACCCCCTTCCCCCTTTTCTTCCCCCTCTCCTCGACCTCTAGCTCCTTCAAGCCCTCCATCTTGTCCAGCACAAGCTCAAGTAACTCCTTCCGCCTGATAACCTCCAGGTGACCCCTCACCCGCGGGTCCTCCCTCGCGAACCGCTCCACCTCCTCTTTCGTCAGTCCCCTGCCAAGTCTAACATCCAGCTCTCTCGGGAAGTTGTAGTAGAATTCTGAGAGGAGCTCGACATTGAGGAACAGGACTGCGGTGGAGGTGAGCTTGGTGGCGACGACGTCGAGGAAGACCTCCGGACAGAAGTAGCGGGAAGAGGGAGAGGAGCATTGTTTAGAGCGGAGGGCTGTGAGGCGCATACGCAGAAGTTGGGCTCGGTCGCGGAGGAAAGTTGCTTCGCGGCCTGAATGACAGTCAGCATCACATACGTATAAGCATATTAAAAGGATCGAGGGCAAAGTACCTCGTTGCAACAAGTCCGACGAGTAGCCACCGGCACCACTTGCACCATCGGCAACAACTTCTACTTCGCCTTTCCTCGCTTTATCAACGAAGAACATGACATCCTTCAATTTTCTTTTCCCGCCTACGGATTTCTCGACATCTTTCACAGCTTCTTCGCAAGCTTGGAGTTCCTTTTTCAAGACGTCTGCTATATTTTCTCTGCCTCGTGCCCATTCACCGTCTTCGACGTCGATTTCGAATTTGTAAGGTTTGATGCAGTTTTCTACTTGGTCAGAGGTGCTATAGAATCGCTCATTGAGAATTCCGGACGCAGCTTCGGTGATGGCTTGGCGAGCAAAAGGGTGGGATGCGAATGTGCTTTGGGAGATGAGGCGGTCGACGTGGGATTGGAGGGCGTTCGCTACAACTGTTGTTGCTAGACGGCCGATACCGAGTTTCGTAAGGGCAGAGGTGGAGGCATCGAGTTTACGGTGCCAGTAGAGAGATTCGGGATCAGCGTTAGGTAGATCTACAAGGGAGTCTGGTTCGGGAGGCGGGGGGGAGAGGTTTGTTACTGGCTTGTTCCAGTATCTAGATGCGAGGAGGTCAAGGACTCGTTGGTCCAGCTCCTCTTTGAGCATTTCTCGGACTTGTGGCCGTCCAAAGCTTTCTGTAAACTCTTTGAACGAGTGCTTGAAAGCGTCCAAGCTTTCAGCCAAATATGACTCTGCTGAAAGGGGCCGATCGTTGTATTGGACCTTGAACTCATAAGTCGCTTCTTCTAGCTCTTGGCGGATGGCATCGCCCGTGCTCTGTAGACTCGCAGCCATCTTTTGTTCGAGGACTTGCATCAGCTTCTTGCGCAGCGTTGTTGTTCCCACGGCTACGCCGGCATCTTGCCCAAATTCGAGAGGGTGTGAAGAGAAGAAAGAGTGCTCATTCTTTGCAATCGCTGAAGCAATGCCTTCGCTACCTTTCTTGAACAGGCCGCTTGTTTGGGGGGGCACACGTGATACCACACCAACATAGCCGAGTCTCAGGGGGTATTTTCGGTCGTTGAGGATTGCCGCGCCTCTTGTAGCATCCACCAAGTCCATCTTCGTTACTACCCCAATGGTGCGCTCTCCTCTCGGATCCACTCTCCGACTTGCTCGGAGAGCTGTGGAATTCGCCAGATCGACATCTGCTGCCGAGATAGCAAGAATAACATTCGGTGGTTGAATGTACTTGTCGCAAAGATCAGAGATCTTCTGCTTCAATTCTATCGGTTGATCATGACCAACAACTTGAATGTAACCAGGAAGGTCGATAAGTGACAGGTCGGGTACGTAAGGAGACGAAATAGTCAGTTGAATTGGGTCATCGGAGACGCATTCGGAATCTGGAACTGCTAAGTTGAGCTCCGTCAAGGTTCGTTGAATATGCGAAAAGTCTGAGATCTTGCCTAGACCTAGAGCTGGGAACTCCCCATATTCCGCCTGTGAATCAGGCGTGTTCACAAGCGTCAACTCGATCGGCCTCCGGGTAACCATATTCGATCCTTTTGGCAAGAATTCATGTCCAACTATAGCTTCCAACACTGAACTCTTCCCTGACGATTGAGATCCAATCACCACAATCGAGGGCAAGTTCAAGGTGTCCGATTGTCCAACTGTCTGTAATATTCTCCGAATCTCGATCATTTTCTTGGTCAGAACCATCATCTGGTCGTCTCTTGCCGTCTCCTGTCCAGTCCTGGGGTCTTCCTCATTGGCCTGGTCGTATCCATATGCAGCAGCAGTTCCTCCACCAGCAGTAGCCCCTAGCTTGCTTCTATTTGGCGACTCGCCTCCGGGTCCTCCCTTCTCGCCCTCTCCACCCGGCCCCTCCCCAATCTCCTCATGGATCCGCAGTACTTTCTGCAACCATTCCGGCAACTCAACTTGCTCTTTCGTATTTTGCCATCCTTGCCGTGTCTGATCTGCGATACCCTTTGCCCCGCCAAACAACCCTTCAGCAGCTCCAGTTACAGTTTCCTTTGTGGTGTTGAAGACATCGAGGGCGTAGTTCCCGGCCTCTACGCAATAAATCAGCAAGCCGTTCCTCTAGATACAAGCGAGGAGATGTACGTTGAGCCTGATACTGCACATAGGCCAGTCCAGCAATCGTAGCACCACCAAACAAAGCCGGTATCCTTGCGAATTTGAGCAACAGTTTCGGAAGTATCCGTACGAAAGAGGCGTTGCGGACAATGACTGCGTTAGAGAAGGCGGTATTCCCTGCCGGCCAGGTCTGTCTTCGTGCTGCCCTGACTGCCGAATGTGTCTTGAGAAGACCGCCGGCGGAAGATGCTGGGTGGTGATGGAACTGACGGCCTGCTGATACAATGTTGCCTCGCTGGGCGAGAGGCAACAGCCTGGCTGACAAGAGCCGCCCGCTCATGGTAGCCAGACGTGGGACTGTAGCAAGGCTCTTCTTGGGTATCTCTGGGTCATGAGAGTCGATTCATCGATTCATGAGTTGTAGTGGATGTAGGTACACTTAATATTTATTGTCTAATGCCTCTGGTCTTCTCACATAGTGGAGTCGAGGCGGGCCAGCCGGAAGAGGGTTTCACCGGCAGCACCTAAGACTTGGCCCTTTGGAACCTCAAGACATTTGGAGAATCGGGCGGCTGCACTGCCTCTCTCCGTGAATTTGATCGTCGCTGTCTGTCTTTCAGTAAATCTTTCTTCTATTTCGTCTTTAAGAATTCCCGGCAAACCTGCTTGCTTTCTCCCGCTTCTCTCAACTCCGCCAGCTCTGCTGTTGCTATTTTAAGCATTCCATAGCCTCAGCCTCTCTCTCAGCCTCGCACCTGTCGACGTTGACTCATCTCGTTTTAATTGATATCGCACCCCTACCTCTCTTCTGTTCCTTCTGCTGCTTCTCCAAAAACGACTGCGCTTAAACAAAGGAAACTCTCAACCTCTGCTGGACCAGAAGATGTGTCGCTTTCTCGTAGGCATAAGGCCATAATGTAGCTCCCATCGAGCACCAGACTAATAAATCACAGGTCTACAAAGGTTCGGATGAGATCCTGCTTTCGAAGCTGATCCTTGATCCAACCCATTCCATCCTCACACAATCGTTCGATTCCCGTCTCCGGCTGGACATGAGAAGACCTCACAATGGTCTGTTGGCACCATCTTCTCATCCACCCCTTGCTGATGGCCTGCAGGTGATGGGTTTGGAATTGGATACTACACCGAGCAAAAGCTTGGTTCAGAACCTTGTATCTTTACGTCCACTACACCTGCTTGGAACTGCGTCAACCTTCAGCGGATTGCCTCCAAAACCGCCTCTCACCTCATTTTCGCTCACGTGCGGGCCACGACGGAGGGATCCTTGAGCGATGACAATTGCCATCCCTTCTGCCATGGCAGCTTGATGTGGATGCACAATGGAGGGTTGGGGGGTTGGAAGCACATCAAGAGGCGTTTGGGTGAGAGACTGGCAGATAAGTGGTACCTGGGCGTACAGGGCGGTACAGATAGCGAATGGGCGTTTGCCTTGTTTCTTGACACTCTCGAGAGAATGGGCCACAACCCAAGCTCTCCGCCAAAGACAGGTTTCGGACCAGGTGTTCTGCGGCAAGCTATTCTGAAAGTCATCAAGCAGATCAACGATTTCATCGCCGAGATCCCCAAGAGCGTAGTGGAGAGCGAGGGTGTGGATACCAGGAGCCTGCTAAACTTTGCTATCACGGACGGGCATAGTGTTGTCTGCACTCGGTATGTTAGTAGTTGCACAGATGAGGCTGCTAGTCTGTACTACTCATCGGGAACCACGTGGGAGGACAAGAGTACGAAGGGCGAATACCAGATGGATCGCCGGGATAAGGGTGCCGATATCGTTCTGGTTGCTAGCGAGCCCCTGACATTCGAGCGAGGAAAGCATTCCGCACCTTTTTCTCGCCCCTCTTACTAACAAGAAACAGAAAGCTGGGTCACAGTGCCTACCAACTCAACACTCACGATCCATAAACAGACCGTCATGGTACATCCCATCATCGATGAGTACTACAACTCCAACCCATCTCACTCACGATCATCTCAACTTGTCCACGACAGAGGCCTTGTCACCAACGAGAAGACTGCTGGCAACGGCACAAGTCCCGCAGTGATCCCTGGCTCGGATTGCAAACCCTCGAAGATATCGGCGAGCTTACACGACAACTTGGTCAGCACTCTGGCGCCACCTACTTATACATCTGCATCCCCCGCGGTATCTCCCGGCACGGAAGATATCTCACCTCGAAACCCGACCTGCTTTTCCGATGTCCAAGATTGCAAGTCGATCTCTGCGGTCGAAGGTCCGCAAATCGTACAATCTGAACAAATGGCGACTCCAGAGCGAGACTTTGGAGACTCGTTAAATATTGCTCGGTACCTTCCTAAGTTGAATGAGATATCTTGAAATTCAAGATATGTCGAGTACTTCCTATTGTTATTATGCGAAGCAAAGTAGTCAATAGGCAGGCAGGGACAAGTGGCGTTGGCATAAGTTTCTTTCGAGTAGCCAGCCATACCGCGATTTGGGCTTTGTTGTTCCTTCCTCTACATTAGCACTTCGTTCCCGTTTGCTATCAACCTCCGATTAAGAGTATTTTGGCGCGGCTGAACGAGAAACTGTTGGTGAACTTTTTATCCGAACCACCTATCGCTGCTTTTAAAAATTCGCTTACTTACGCTTATTTGATTGGCTAGCTTATTGAAAATAGCGGTAACGCTGCTTTATCGAAAGTAAACAATCATTCGTGCGTTCGCGTATTTTTTATTTTATTCTGATTAGCTACGTAGTAGCTTCATGCTGAATTCGCAAAGCGATTGGTTAGATTCAAAGTGGATTAAAAACGAAGCGCGGAGTAAGAATATCAAAACATCGCGACGGTAAGTTGTATTTAATTGTTTATTTTACGAAGCTTAAAAATCATAATAAAATAAGAATAAAGAGTAAATAGAATCAGTCACGAAGACTTATAATGTTAGTTTTTATTATCGTAGCTCGTTGCGTTACGAAATAATATTAATAGGAAAGCTTTTTACAGTAAATAGTTTGCCGAAAAACACCGATTTCAATACTGATTACGATCGAAAGACCGCGGAATAATAATATCAAGTACGATATAGATAATTAATTCTTTATTATTTGAGCAGCTGTTTCTCTAGCATTTCATTCCTAGTAACAGTCTTTTAGATTCGATTCAAGTAGCTATCTCTCTAGCATTTCTTGATCTTAATTGATTATAATGGACTTCTGTTTGATAAGCTAGCTTACTTTGCAACTGCGAAGACATAATAGTCAGTGCACTGACTATTACAACGTAGTTTTCCGAAAGAAGAAACAATAGCCTTTTAGATTCCAAGCGCCTTGGCTAACGCCCTCTTTTTTCCCTCACTTCTTCTTTTCCTCTTGGCGCTTCCTTGGTTCGCCACCCACCGAGGTTGATTACAGTCAACCTTCTTGTAGGTATATAGAGCTCACAGCTCCTTCCAACCTCGACTCTCGGCAGTTGTTGAGTCTAAGTTATGATCCTGAGATCTTCCTGAGCTCCATGTGATCCCCGGCTCTCCCGTGAGTTCCTCAGGTAATCGCCTAAGGTTGTCACGATAGTATCCTCTTTAAATGTGAATACAAGCAGCTATTCCTCTGGCATTTCATTCTCAGCAATGATCCTTCAAGTGTAATGCAACCAGCTTTTTTTCTAGCATTTCATTCTTAACAATAGCCTTTCTATATCTAATGCAAGCAACTGTTTCTTCAACATTTTTCTCCCTCTCCATTCTCCTTTCGCTATTAATAGTAAATACGAGTCGAGATTAACAGCAACGTGACAAACGTCCCCAATATATACACATACACCTGCAAGATCCCATTCAGCGAATAGATTCGAGATTTTGCCGAGTACCGAAGGGGTTGTTTGTAAAACCATTACCCGTGATTGATTTTATCCCCTTTCCACAATACCATATCTGGGACTGCCGCTTCCTCCCCCCCCTACTCATCCGCCTAGTTCCTCCCTTTGATCTTTTTTCTTTCTTTGGTGCCTGGTCTAGCCTTATTTCCTATACTGCGCACACAAATGTCCTCAACACCCCCAGTGTCCAGGCGAGATAAACGCAAGCTGAAGCTCGGTTCTCCGTTCCCGGCGCTTCCTGGACCTCCGAAGGGAAAAGCGATGCCGAAACTTTCGATTGAATCGGTCTGCCTGCCGTCCGCGTAAACGACCTGTCTTTTTTTTTCTTCTTCTTTTTTTCTTCTGCTCATATCACATTTCTAGGCGGTGGATTGATAGGTTATGTAAAAGTGATGGATGGATATGATGTGATGTGATTTGATGTGTAACGGTGGATATCGTAAGTATTATTTAATAGTGGAATGGGGTTTTTTCCCCCTGAGATTTGAGATTTGAGATTTGACCTTTCCACTCTGACGAGGGCCTGCTGCTCGTTCCCCCCTACCCCCCTCCTAAAAAATAGGAAAAAAAAGGGGGGGAAACTCGTTCAAACACATTACCTTCTTCGAGAATCTCCTGTATAGCCGGCCATCTTGAGCCGTAGCGAGAGCTGTGGGAGGGGATCGAAATACTTCTTCTACCTTTATAATTACAATTAATAAATAACGATTAACGATTAACGATTAACGATCAATAATAATATAACGTGAGCGAAGAAGACGCCAGCTCGTAATCCGATTCGATTCAATTCGATTCCTAACTCGTAAAGGATAGATAGATCCACGAGACGTCTAGCCGCGTCAGTTCATATGCTGCACACACACATACACACACATACACACACATACACACACATATATATATACCTTTCAATCTGCCCGCGGAGAAAAAAAAAACATCACACATGCGACTCCAAGAGCCTACCACCAAAAGCCTCAACGCAGCCCTCATTTAAGAGATTCTCTTTCTCCGTATCTTCATGAAATCTACTTCTGAATATCTGTCTTCGACCTACCTACTACTCCCTACAGTATACTATCTTCCTATATTCGACCCTCAAGTGGGTTAATCAGTCGAACCAAGCAGAACCAAAACCAAAACCAAGCCTGTAGATTGATGGATGAAGTAATGATAATGGTTCAAAATGCTAAGCCCGAAGCCTTCCCTTGTTGTAATCTCCCGCTTGGGTAGGTACGGAAGGACGGAGAAAGTATGGTCGCTGTTCTAATCTCCGTGTATATATATATACATAAAGCGACTTCGCCTTTTAAGATACAGCAAAGCCAAAGCCAAAAGCGAAATCAAAAATCGCTCTAGAACATGTCAAGATAAGAAAGGGGAGAAAGAAGAATGAGTATGGATATGAATATTAATGCCTTCCCAAAGGCAAGGTACCATAGCAGAGTCGCCAAAGATGGTAATAATAATAATAATGATAATAATAATAGTAAGAACGCAGACAAAGCGGTATGAGATTGGGGATCTGAAAAGGGGCTTGGGGCATTGAGGATGGGATGGAAGAGGAGAGGATGGCATAGGGTAGAATGGACAATGAACTCGAGGAGTTATTGAAAGATTCGAATTCGACTCGATTTGAGGATGGAAGGAGAAGGGGTGATTTGATTTGATTGGATTGGATTGGGTTTTGAACTTAAATGTAATTCTCAAAGACTCGAGGTTCAGTCAGCTCGGTTGCCTGGCTGGAAGAAGCTTAGTTAGTACACAATGGGTGAGTGAACTGGATGAAAGGAAAGAGAAAAAGAAAGAGTGAAGGGGACCGGTCGATGGGAGGAGGGAGAAAGGAAGGAAGGAACGAACGAGGGAAGGCGAGATGGGATGAGGAGATGAGGAGATGATGCTGGAAAGGTGAGGTGAATGTGTGGATGAATGGATGAATGAATAAATAAATGAATAAATGAATGTCAATATCATTCAATTCTGGAAAAAAGGCGACGTCGGTCTTTACTTAGAATACAAATTGATGTAATAGGGTATGTCGAAATAGAATAGAAAAGGCTAGCGGGGAAGGTAGAGCCGGAGAGAGGGAGGATTCGGGAAGTATGTAGGTAAGTGAGCCAAAGAGTCTGTTCGACTTCGAAAAACAGACAGAAAAACTCAAGTATTTATAAGATATCTTACCTTTCTGCCTGCCGGCCTATTCTCACGCTCCTCAGCTAAACTCAGAAATTCCCAATCGATATCGCTCTGAGCAGATCGAAATTCCTATTCGTTCATTTAGTTCCTCCGTTCGATCAATTATCTGAGACCCAAAAACCCCGAGAACTAATATCGAAAAGCAGAAGAGAGAGAGAAAAGACTCCAAGCATACACAGAATCGATCCATATCTAGGGACCTACCTACCTCACTGACTAGAGAAGTCTCTCACTTCCCGCAGCCAAGAAGAAGAGGAAGAGGTGAAAAGATAAGAAAAGAAAAGAAAAGGAAAAGAAAGAAAACATGTGCCTCACAACGACATACGTCTGTAAGTTTTCCCCCTTTCTCCTTTTCTCTGATAGATTCCCTCCTTGCTCACCCTATCTATCCACTTACATACCTACCCAACCACCTACCTGCAACCCGCCACAAGCCCGAGGATGACTTACTGATTGAGATGCCCGGAGCCCCTCGTCTAGACGTGTGCGGCCACAAGCACCTCATCCGGCACTACTGCAAATTGAAGAACCCCATGCTCTGCGACGACACCCTGAACGACAAACAGTGTCGGCACTACCGTACGCGTACCCCTCCTCGCCTTCTTTCCTTCCCAACTACAGGAAGACGGTTCTCCTCCTTCTTTTTTTGGAGGGAAAAGAGAAAGAAACAAAAAAGCGCTAATTCCTTCCCCCGTGCGTAAAAACAGAATGCTGCAGCTGCATCGAGTACGAAACCGGCGTCTCCACCCTGCTCGACGAGGAAGACAGCGCCAAGTTCTCCTCCACAAGCGACAGCATCAAGAACTGGATAGCGGACACACAACACATCGAGCAGCCGGAGCAGCCGGAGCAGGAGTGGAGCTCAAAGGGCCAGGAAATGGAAGAAGCCGCTGCGGATGATCCTGGACCTGGCGCTGCTCCTCCAACTGAGCAGGAGCAGCACCGTGAGGATGATCGTGCTCGGGATGTAGATGAGGGTGTGCATATGGACGAGGGTGTGGTTGTAGATATGGAATGGCTGAAGCAAGAGTCCCAGTCCCAGGATACGCAGTGGATGGCCGCGGGGGATAGATCGCAGGAGAAGAACTGAGATTTGGAATCCTTGAGTGTGTCGAGTCGCGCAGGCGGAGTCGGAGATGGGGATAAAGCAGACGCGGTCCATGTGCTGAGATGCAGTGCCGCGAGCGCACAGAGAAGTACTCCGCGGCATCGAGCAAGGAGCAAGCTTGAAGCCTCGTTAATCTCGCGAAAGAGAGACAGAAGAGAGAAAGCAGAATGATGAATCGAAACTGAAGAAGCAGAACAATCCCTCCACCCCCAAAAGGGCATTAAAAAAAAGGCAATATCCACTGTCCCATATCTCCCCTAAGCATACAGTAGCGTAAGCACTTCGAGCGGTTTAAAATAAACAAGAGCCAGCAGCATACGGAGTCTGCTCTCACTCAATCACTGACTCGCTCACTTGAGTTGAGCTGTTGGTGTCAGTGGCGGGAAGAAAACCGGTTAGCAGACGTCAACATTGACGAGTCATGTGCTTGTGTACACGTGAGCACCTCCTCGATCCGTGCTAGAATCCGCCGAATCAGTCAACTCCTGCACATCCCAGATCTAAGTATTTTACAATTCTTGCCATACACATTAATTCAAAGGAAGCTTGTCGGTATGAGGCTATATACGTCCGTATTCCTGCGAGCAACCTTTGTTATATCTTCTCCCAAATCGGTAATACGATTACTACTCCCAGCATCAACGTGGCAAACAACATTCCTCCTAGCAAGCTCTGATATACCACTTTTCTCTGCAACCTCCTCAGATTGTCGTCTTTGACCTTCAGTTTTCGATCGAATATCATTATTTTCGAGAGTGTCTGCGAGAACATGGATTGCCTCGTCTCTGCCGGATCATCCGCAAACCTCTCCCATGGCATTGGTTGTCGCCTCGAGAACAAGAGCAGGAAGAAGCAGCTACCGCGTAATCCCGAGAGGACTAAACCACCTCCGATGCTCCACAGTGGCCAAACACCGAGCGCTCGCCACCGAGAACAGTGTCTGAATGATGGGGCGACCAGGGCTAGAAGCACGACGGTGAGGAATCCACAGATGGTGAGCACGATACCGAGACCAGTTGCCATGCAAATCGTTTCGAATGTCCCATTTGATACGCCGAGCCGGACAAAGTTTCTATGGGAACAGGATCGTAAGAGCAGATAGCAGTGTTCGGCGACTGGCGCGAGGTGTTCAGCTTCGGTCGATGTTGCGATGGCGTCAAGGACTTTTCGTCGCATCGTCGAGGGAATGTTAAGCTCTTTTGGAGAGCCTGGAAGTAAGAAGAGGCTTTTGATGGTATCAATCTCGGTACGTCGTATATCCCCTATCTCTATCGATGTCTTCTCCTCCGTGTTCTGGTCCCCGGCGAATGGGTCTTTGTCCGTGGGTGAACGTCGCCTGTTCATGCAAGGTCCGCTTGATATTCCAGGGCGTACCAGGGATGCTATCCGAGCATATATATCGGCTGGAAAGAAGTTAGTTCGGGGGGGTCAAGAGGCGAGATGACCTGGTGACGTACATTCTTCGAAAGTGAGATTTTCTTGCCCCTCTCCCCCTGGATCGTTAGACTGGGCCGGAGGCCATGTTACGACTCTCTGCCGGGTCTCGTCCTTGCCTGTCACTGTAAGATCCGTCTCGGAGCCATTGGAGCCAAGTACGTGGGTGTCGACGTCCAGGGGGATGATGGGTTGAGGAAATTCCGGAAAGGCTGTGAGACGACCTGCTTTGTAATTCTTGAACCTAGGTCGGCGCATAATCGTCAGCACTCGGCACATCTGCTTGTATCCGCGTAATGAGTTGCGTACCATATATAAAACTCCAGGTTCTCGGCCGACAACTCGATATACTTCAGATACATGTAAAAGTCATAGAGTGACATTGGGCTGCCTGTCCTTGGTGGTTAGTTACGCGCGCGGTGTACAGACAGTGAGGAGAGGAGGATCCTTACAGGTCCGGTTCTTCAGGATCTTCTCCAGACGGAGCTTTGACGGGATTTCCGCGCTCCTTCGCCTTCTCTCACTACTTTCGGGTTGGACTGGAGTGCCCGTTCCCGGCGCGTTGGCGAAACGCTCGTTGATTCTCTTTGCGAATTGGGTGACATCGACATACGAAGGTTTCTTGTACCACCGCAGCCATTCTGGAAATCCGGAGACCATCTTGCGAGGTGGGAGGGCTGGAGGTTGAACCTGAAAGATGTCAACGACGAGGTTGTGGGGTCGGGAGTCGGGAGTCGGGAGTCGGGAGTCGGGAGTCGGAGGCGGGAAATGGCCGATGGCGAAAGAGGAAGGGGCGGGGGTGGGGGTGGAGGTAACGTGACAATCGTGGCTTCCCTCGGTCGCCAGCGAGACGCAACAGAGAAGATGAAAATACTGTGAGGTACGCACGGTATGTGTGAATAGTAACTGGAACTGGATCAAGTCCTCTCCATTCAAATACCGACAAGACGATGAATCGATCAAGACGTGTCGGGTGTCGGGTGTCGGGTGTCGGGGGTCGGGGGTCGGGGGTCGACCAGAGAGATGGAAGGGCAGCTACGTGAACCGCCTGGAGCGTGACTTTGGAGTTGATTGAGAGTGAAAGACACCGGCACGTGGACAAGGCCGATAGACAGGTGGTGAGTGGGTATGTAGTTTGTGTCAACTATAGTAGTCCAAGTAGTTGTAGATAGTAAATACCGCCGTGATTCAAGCTTATCAAGTCCAAGTCTAGAACGGAGATTCGAGGGTAAAATACGTACCAAATCATTACCTTCATAGTTGAAGGACAGTGGTGCCTTATTATGTCCACGTTGTGCTCGGACAACATGACACGGCCTCACTCCGAGCTCAGGTAAATAGCTTCCGGGAACGATCACCACCCAACACGTTCTCTCGACGACTGCATCTCCGCGTAAGCCAGCTCAGGGCAGGATTTCCCGTGAGGATCGGGCCCGAGAGGATAGCGCTGGGACGGGGTGCCATTGTCTGTGCAGCTCAATTACGTATAACTCGTCCAATTGCCAGTCACTCCGGTGTCCCTCATACAACTACCGCGGCCGTCCGAGTACCGGTATTTGAGATACGAACGGTGATGTCTCCGTACACCCAGATCCCGGGACGCGAACCATCCATGCATCCAGACATCACGCGAGCGCTGGGAGCTACTGGCACCCTTTGACGATGGGAAAGAGGCAAACTCTCGGATGGTGCAGCTAAGCTTGAGACATTGCGCACTTGTCTACCTTCCGATTGGCTTCTAGCACAAGTTCTTTAAGGCTCACCCGGTACGTAAGCTTTTCTAGTGAGTAACTATTGATCTTTGTGAAGTTTATTTTGTACGGGGTGGCAATACCGGATACACCTTGATCTCATATGTTCTCGGTCTAGCGTGGATGAATAGACGATGTTGGGAGGAGAGGGTCCAGGTCGAGATCGAGATCAAATTGGTGATCATACCCGGAAGACGTTGTCTGAGCCGGCAGTTAACTTTGAGCAGAAGCCGATCTTGGAGCAAAAGTAGGAAAAGAGTGAGGCGCAACGTGGTTTGCGCATGTTGCATTCTCTAGCCTTACGTGTCGAATCTGATCTCGATATCGATTCCGTCATAAGGCGCTGCGCTCGCTGGGAGAACTCCCCTCAACCAAACTCACAGACTCGATGTCTATAAACATGATTAGGTACCTAAAGCAAGCTGAGGAAACTTGATTGAGCTAGTACCTACCTACCTACCCACCTGGATTCAGCAAAACGATCCCAGTAACCCTACAATCAGTTTCAACCACAACCTCATCACCTTCGATAGAGATGCTCTTGAGCAATATTGAAACTTCGGCAAGGAGTTTCTTTCAAAGCAAGACCGCAGAAGCTCTGTGCTATCGAGACTTTCTTAGCAGTGCCGATCAAGTCTTTGGAAGCGAGGAAGCGGAGCCTATCAGTGTCGGCTTGGACAAGCTCAGCAAGCGGCACAGCCTGACAGTATATTCAGGTTCCTTCACAGTTCCGATCATGCCATCATCAGATCATCAGCACTGAACCATCTCTAAAGAACCTCGCATGATCTGAATGACTCAATATATGCTTGATCTACACACTGATTACCAATATACAACTACCACTCGACAGTCCACGAGTGACCAGGTCGCCAGTCGGATAGCAGGTGCAATGCTTCACACCGATCTTCGGGAAACCGTCGCTATCGTCGTCGTCAAATAGAGGACGAATTCAGCACTCACACAATCCGCGAGCCGGTCGTCTCAGGAATCGCCCTTCTTGGATAGAGACTTGGCTCTCTGTCTTGGCCAGTATTCCTTATGTTTGCAGTAGCTTCATTAACTCGCAACTTTTCTAAATGGCTGAGTCTAAATTTGCGAATAGCTTCCATTCTCTACAATGGTGATTTCAACATCTCGGGTTTTCTACCTCCTCACTTCCCGCGTGCAGGAGGCTGTTAGGCATGACAAGAACCCAGCGCTGGAAACCAGACGACTACAAGACTCAAAAGCCTGGGTGAAATGCGATCAATAACCATTCTACCGACCAAAGAAGAGCAGATATGTGCATAAAAATCGTCAAAGAAAGTGCCAAACTGCCTCTTTGTTTGTCGTGACTGCCCATCTTGATTCATTCCCCCGAGAAAGCCGTGGAAAGGCGATCGGGGTTCCTCAAGTCTGAAAGAAGCTGGTAAACATATAAGCAGCCCATGGCATGTCGTCTGCAGAGCATCAACTCTGCTCTATCCAACACTCCCAAGCAAAACGACAATCAGCACAGGATCTGCCTCGAGTCAAACAGCAGTACCCAGCACCCAGCACACAGAGTTATGTGCGTCGTTATCTACTGGTTCTCGGCGGGCTGCAGCCTCCACACGAGCTGGGAGTTCAAGCAGTGCAATCTGGCTGACTTCAAGGGCGGATGCCAAATGGCCAGAGTTGAGAAGTCTGTCCGAGGGGAAGACTGTGCCGACTGCGAGCGGGAGGCGAAGGAAAAGGAGAACGAAGAAGCCGTTGAGGAACTCAAGAGGGAATTTTCGACATTAGTGGCGTCGGTATGCAGCCAGGAGGAGCCGAAGAAGAAGAAGGAGGCAGAGCCCGATGGCAATATCGCCCGTCCTGGCTGCGCCGGGCCCGTCGTTTCTGGCTTTGAGACGCTTAGCAACCTGCTTCAGAGTTTTGCTCATCAGTCTTGGGTTGAGGGCAAAATCGACTTGCTAGAAATCGAGGCGGAAGCTTGCCGTCCGGCCCGTGACGAAGAACCAATCGACTGCTTCAAAGTGGACTATGACTTTTGGGGCGACATTCTCAGGTGTGGGATGAAGCATATTCTCGACGCTGCCAGGGATGAGATGATCAAGAGCTGTGGGGAACGAGACCAGGAGTTCTTTGAAATCCAAGAAGCCTGCAAATTGTACGTTCAAGGACCCTAGTACACACACAGCAGGACGATGGGGCTGACTTACCAGGACCGACCCCCAAGCCCACCTCAAACGATGTCTCTGCAACCCAATACAAAGCATGAAATCATTGTAGCTACCAGGGCTCTACGAAAAGACGTAGGTGGTATATCCCCTCTACCTTAGGACACTCCGCTAACTTATCCAGTACTGGCTCCAGAACTTCCTCACTGTCCTCTTACAGTTGTCACGCATTGGTGGTGGGGGGCTGGGTTCGGAGCCCACGTGTAACTTCCATCTGAACGCGACTCGGGCCTCGATCCATAAACGAGTTGCCTACCTATAGGGAGAGCGATTTCATTTGAGGGGCCCAAGCCATCATCAGCTAATTCCGAAAGACATGCGCCGAAAACACCCAGTGCCCAAACCTGCAGTACAGAACCCAATCTCCCCCCAAAACCAACAATGCGATATCCCCCAAACCCCACGTGCGATTCCTCGCGAGAGAGCTGAATCAAATCGTGATTCTCGTCTCACGCACTCCACCGAATCCACCTACAAGACTACAAGATAAAGAAAAAAAAAGAAGAAAAAAAAACGAACAGGCAGTTCTCCGCCAATGACCTCAATTCATCCGTGGTTGCTATTGACGCTCAAGTAGACCAACCAACCACCTTTCCACACTCGGCGACAAGAAAGGCGAAGGACTTCTTTTCTCTCGACCGTGCCGGCCGGCAAGAAGACATCGAAAGCCCGCGCCGGGAGCAGGGAGGGAGGCTGAGATTCCGAAGGGTTCCGAGGAGGGGAGGGGAGGTGATCAAAGGCTGCTGCTGGATCTGCCTTGTTATCCAGCTTCCGAGCAGCGTGCCCGTCTCGAAGGAACTCGAAAAGGATTTCGTGAGACATAAGCAATGGAGGCGATGGAAGAAGGCGGCGGGGGGAGGGGGGGAGGGGGGGCAAGAATTCGGGCCGTCATATTGTCTGTTAATGGACAGCTTATTTCCTGCTCTCATCGAAGCAATCCAAGTGTCAGAATCAGCAGAATTGCAGCGAATGAGGTGAAGAGATTAAAGACGTCTAGTACGTGTGAAGCAGGGAGAGTCATTTGAAGTCAAAGAATAAGTAAGTAAACCTTTCTTTCAAACAAACAGAAGTAGAAAAGACCAAAGGAACCTGGGTTGACAAATCTATTCTGCATGCTATTCTAACGTTATCGGTCCCGGATATCCAGAGACCTCCATCAAGTAGTATCTAAGGATAATGTAGGATGCAGATGCAGGTCAGAGTTGGCCTCGACCCAACATAACCATTCTCCGGTCGCATGAATGCAGAGGAATCAAAAATTCTCAGCAAGAACGATACTGCCCAACCCCGCCATCTACTCATCTCCGCTTGGCCAGGTAGGCATGGGCACTGTCCCAAACCTTCCTGTCCGCCTCATTGATCTCGTCGCCGAGAGCCGACACACCTTCGTAAACGGCATCGAACAATGTGAAGGCAACTTCGAGATCCTCTGCGAAGTTGACGCTGTGTGGTAGATACTTTCGGATGTATTCTAACTTATTGTCTTGGCGCTCTTGGGGGGTCCATTCGAGTTTGAAAAAGTCGTCAAGATACGTCTTGACAGCAATGCCGAGACTGGTGTCAATATCTTTGGAGAAAGGAAGGCTGATGAAAAGTCAGTGAAGTACAAACTTTCAGGGATTCTGTAACAAACCTTCGGCCCAAACCGTCAAGATCGTCTCGAGGGCGCTTTCCTTGTCCATTCAGCAAAAGAGATGCGAGAACACCTTCCATCAAGTCTCTATCTGTTTCCCGAACCTCCTTGATGATGGAGTGGAAAGCGAGGAAGTTCTTGCTAAGAGGTCCGGTGTAGCCCAAGTTCTCGTGACGAAGCTTTAGCAGACAAGCAGTACGTCCAATTAGAATGCAGTGGGCCTTATCTTCCTCTGATCCCCGCAGAGGACCACCAATAAGCTCCGAGTGGCGACGGTGCGAATTGAGATTGTCGAAGCGGAGGAGTTCAAAGGCAAGGAAGGTTGCTTCTTCAAGGTGGTGAATATCGTTGTAAGCCTTGATGGTGGGACCAACAGCCTTCAGTGTAATGGCCAAGGCTTTGCCCCAATTCGTCAATTCGTGCTGATCATTGATGTAGCCTCGGAGATGGAGGAAGCGCCACAGAACATTTGATTGAAGCTCAACCTTTGAGTCGATCCCAGTGACGTGCTCTTTGCCGGTCGGGATGTAAATAGTCGAGGCGGGAAATTTTGGTGACTGTAATGCGAGGATTGCGAACGACAGGCTGCCGGCTGGTATTCCAATCGCCTTCTCTTGCTCTTTGAGCTCTGGTTCCTTGACGCCCCAGGAGTCGGTCTTCTGGTTCGCTTGCGGTTGCATATTGCGATGGACTAAAGTCTGCTTAAGGGTTTCATCAAACCAGAAGAACATCTCGATGTCCTTGAATTGTATAGCTCGAGCCATACGGGAAGATACGAGAGCAGCGGTAGTTTCCTTCAGAGGAACAAGCGATTGCGAGACAAGTTTCTTGTACTCATCGGAGATAACGCCGTCCAAAGTAGGAAGGATGTTCCATTTTAGATGCACGAAGCAGTTCATGATTCTAGGGCCGATCAAAGCTTTCGACAGGTAGTGGTACAGTTCGGAAGGCATTTGCAAGCCAAGGTAGTCTGCGTTGTCGCTAGTGAGACCGTCGTGGTCCCGAATAGAGACGAATCCATCCTCGCTAACCGTGCAGCAGTGCTTGACGCTCAATTTTGCCTTCCGGTATTTCTTCAGCCATTCCGGATCTCGCTTCTCTAGGATATCCTGGAAAGCGTTGCATGTGTTCGTGACCGATCGATCGGAGGTTCTGAGGAGATTAATGGCATCGGTAAGGGTATATGGCTGGTGAGAGATGATACTATCGACTTGGAGAGGTGGGAATGGCGGCAAGAATGAAGTGCCAACCATTAGTAAAGCGTCAGCGAACATTTCCGGGTTAGCAACGTTGAGTTTCGCGATCAATTCCGACTTGATGATGCCCTGGAAGGATCCCTTCTCCCAGTCGGTCACGGATGGAGGACTGATGATTGCATCATTGATGTTATAAAGGAGGAGTTCTTTCGAACCCATAATACCATCAATATATTGTTCGTCGAGGGTATCCAGATACGCCAGCTGGGGTTGGTTAGCAAGACTGACTTGAGCGGCAGTATCTCAATAGTTACCTGAGCACAGGCACTGAAAGGTGCGATTTGAAAATCTAGACCCCTCGCAACTAAAGCTTCCTGTAGGATGTGGTACAGGTTTTGAACTCGGATGGCCCCTGTCACAGGGTTAGTCTTAGGGCTGGCCGGGTATCCAGAACTAACTTGCCAGAACCGCCGAATGCCTTGACTGCATCCTCAGGGTGGTTGTTGCTATACAACTCCCACGCCGTTTGTGTCTTCGCAAGTGCTGCCCGAGCATTTCTCAAGTTCATCTCGTCCTTGCCAACGACAGACTGCCCATCGAAGACGAAGACCGGTCTCATGCCATGTGCCTTCCACATGTCCAACTCATTCTCAATATGGTTTCTCAAAGCTATCGGGTCTCCACCGAGAGCAGCGAGGAGTGGTTCGTGGGCAGGTTGATCGTCAATCATATTTTGGAGATAGGATGTGGCTTCAACCCCAATGACGGCGTCTTTCATTTCGGCCAAGGGCATTTCGCTGTAGGTTCCGTTAATCAAGCACACGGTTGTGGCTTGGAGGACTTACTATGCGTCGGAATTGAGGTTGAAACTTGCATCATGTACTGAATTGATCTCACTGTCAGCATGTGGCCACTTCGAATACGATCCCAGCCGCAGCAGACCCGCTGAAGAGTCCGGAGGATGGAGCAGATTGAGCATCTCAGCATGGAACTGCGGGTTCCGCACAGCGCCCACTTCCCCAAAGGCCTGGCCGAAGCAAATCAAATGCGGGAGCGTCCTGGCAGTGGCGTCAATCGTATCTACGGTCCCATTCGAGTCGTAGTGGTCGAGGTCAGGTTCTTCCTGCAGGGGTAACAGTGTCTCTCGCATTCGATGTCCATAGCTTGGCCATGGTAGGAGTTGACCCTGCGCAGCAGTGACTTCGTCCGCCCAAAAATATGCTCGTTCCAGGTCCGCGTCCGTCGCCGCATAGGGAGTGGAGTTTACGGCTGTGAGGGAGGTGGAGGTGCTTCGATCGCCATATGGGTTGGTAATTATTCGAGCAAGAAGGTCGCCGTATGGAGTCGAAGTGGTCGACGGTCTACGTTCGCTTTGGTAATCGTCGCAGCTGTCGCATGAGATTGAGACGACGGAGGATTCCTTGTCATCGCGACTCTGGTACCATACACCCACCATGATGCTGGCGCTGGCGCTGGTGCTGGTGCTGGTGCTGGTGCTGGTGCTGGTGCTGGTGCTGGTGCTGGTTCTGGTTCTGTTGCTGGTCCTGTTGCTGGTTCTGTTGCCGGTGGAGCTGTCCTGCAGGATGCTCGAGGATGGAGATGGGGATGAGGATGATGAAGAGGAAATGCAACTTACAAGGCATTTTGGGGGAAGCGTCTGCCAAGGACAGGCGCTCTTGCCGCAAGTGCGTGGTGGTGATGTGATTCTTTGTCGGAAATCTCGAGTTCGTGGAGGGCGCAATAGGGCAGGGAGGAGCGACCGCGTAGAGTGGTTTGCTGCTGGAAGATCTGGAGTTTTGGAGATTTGGAGATTTGGGGAGGTGAGATAGCTGGCGATCGCAGAGAAGTCGTGGTCGATATGCGAAGTAGATCGAGGTATTTTGCGAAGAATTGGATGTAGGGAACAACAATTCCTCGGTGCTGAGTTGAGGTGAGTCGAAAGGGTGATTGATGTGCGATCGACACAGGGAGCTCTTCCCACCGGGACGTGCCACCCAGGGTTCACCCGTATCACGTGGCCTAGCTCGAACTCTAATGTCAGCCTCAATGTGCTTGTCGTTCTTGTCTCATCCCAAGCTACAGACTGCAGACCGCAGACCGCATCCAGCAGTGCGCCTCTCCCCACTATTCTAAGTCCCGAGATATACTCCGTACTACTACAGAGTATATTATACAAGTATATTATACAAATATTATACAAACTATATGACCATTACCACTTACAACACTTACTGGACCTACCAAACCTACACCTACCAACTATTTATTGTCTTGCCTTGCTCTACCAACCATTCAATTGGTTATGCCATCTGAAAATGAAAATGCCTGCAACACAAAGACACCCCCATCAAATCCCCATCATCGACATTTCAGCCTCTCTCCCACAATCAGAAGTTGCCAAGCAACTGGTTGACGCTGCAGCAACCTATGGCTTCGTCTATGTGAAGAACGAGGGGAAGGACATTCCCGTTGAGGCCATAGAGAGTATATTTGACTTGGTAGGAGTTCAATTCCTCGGTTTGGACAACAATCGTCATTAATCATCTCAATCACCTAGTCCAAGAAGTTCTTTAAGTCCCCAGTGGCAGAGAAGGAACCATGCAAGATCTCAGAGAATGTATGATGATGGCTTTCTTCCCACAGTATAATCAATCACGAGGATTTCATCTGCTGACCCCCTCAGAATAGAGGCTGGGTTGCTATGCACGGCGAGACTCTAGATCCCAAAAGTCAAAAGGCAGGTCGTGCGCTTAGCCCCACTCTTCTTCAAATATTACTGTATATGGATATCGCTACTAACAGGATTCAGATTGGCGATTTCAAAGAGTACAAGATGCCTTCGCTGTTCTTCTGGAAGCTTGCTCACCATGCAAAGGGCCATGAATCTCGGAGAATTCGTTGACGGAAGAGCCCAGCAACCTCTCCCTGCCGCATTTGCAGGTCACGAGCAAGAGCTTGATCAATTCCAGAAATACTGTCATTGCTTGATGTCGAAGATCCTGGTACTTTTTGGTATAGGACTCGAGGTTTTGTCCCTTATGCCTTTCGTGCTGACTTCTATACTCACACCACGACAGATTGACCCCTCTAAAGGAGGCGAAGACTGGTTCGCCAGTCGCCACCGCGGCACAGGTCCAAGTGGCTGCACACTCCGCCTCCTTCACTACCCCCCCATTCCGCCAGGAACAGACTACCGCCCGTCAGTCGATATCCGCGCAGGCGCTCACTCCGGTATGCCAAGCCAAACCCCAGATTTTTGTTTACATACCTTTGATAGCCGAGATCAGACGGTACCCTCATCTGTCTGGCCTCCTGCAACGATGATCGATCACATTCTAATAGGTGATTAGACTACGGCTCGATAACTCTCCTCTTCCAACGCCCCGGCCAACCCGGTCTCGAAATAATCCCCCCCTCATCCTCCTCTGAATCTCCCAACTGGACACCCGTCCCCGTCTTCCCGCCCACCACCGAATCCGACCCCTCGCCTCCAATCCTCGTAAATATCGGTGACTTGCTTAGCTTCTGGACCAATAATCTCCTAAAAAGTACCGTCCACCGAGTCGTATTCCCAGCGCAAGAAAGGCAGAGCGAGGACCGGTACAGTATTGCGTATTTCGGGCATCCCATTGGCTCAACGGTTCTGGAGCCGGTGCCGAGTAAGATGGTGGAGGCCATGAAGGATGCAAGGGGCGGAATCGCTGGCGCAGAGTCGATGACGGCCGATGAGCATCTGATGAGCAGATTGAAGGCGACGTATTTGGGGATGTATCGCGATGGCGAGGTAGACGAGGCCCAGCGGGCGGTAGCGGCTACTTGAAGAATATAATCGGGGATTCTATGGCGTAGAACCTACCCCTCAAAGTCAATGTTCTGGTTGGACGAAAGACTCGTATCTCTTCCTTATTGTCGTAAATTACTCTAGGTCTCCTCATCTCTTTGAGGATGGCTCTTATCGTCGGACCTAGTTGCACAGCACTAGCACTGCACAGAGGTCACCCTCAACATACATCGAAAGCCAGGCTGTGATTCGCAAACGAAAAAAGCATGTTTGTCGATTTGGTAGTAGCAATCGTTTCATCTTGGCACTTTCGCAAACCCGAAATTTGGCGGGTAGTTAGGGGTCACTATTCAGAGCACAGGGGCTACGAGAGCTTGACTATGCCCGGACATGCGATGATGTCACATTCGCATTTGGCATACAGATTTGATCTGGTTCTTTCATTCGCCGAAGCTCTCTATCCACATAGTCATCACCATGTGTGACTTCTCATCATTCTCCCATTATGATCGCGATCAGAGCAGGAGCTTTTCAAAACTACCTCGCTCAAACTCAGTACCAGAACCTCGATACTCATCCCAGTAGATCAGGAGCTTTCAAGCTACCTTGTCTCTCATTCCAAAAGGGGTAAATTCTCAGAAAAAAACAACGGACGCCGGTGTGATGTGCCAGGGGTGATGGTGAACAAAATGAAATTACATGATGGTGAATCTTTCGCTCGTCGTTGGTCACATCCGGAAGGCGCCTTTTCGCAGGGGGGAGGGGGCTGTTCATGCTGGAGAAATGTTGGAGGGGGTGTGGCGTAGTGTGGCGATCAAATATGGGGACGGGATGGAATGGTGGTGAGTGCTCGGCAATGCAAATTAGAATAGTGTAATTGTGCAAACGGGAAGCGAAGAGCCTGCCGAGCCAAGCTGGGTGAGACGCAAGTGAGCCTTGCAGTGCAAGCTCACATGTCCATCGAATCACCATTGGGGCTAGCGAAGTTGAAACCAGCGCCTTGGGCGGCAGGGTTGGCACCAAAACCAAATGTACCATCAGCCCTCGGTGCCCCATCATCCTGGCCCTCGGCCTCGTCTTCGTCAGAGAAGTACTTCTCGATCATGTTGTAAGCCTTCATGTAGATCTCCTCATTGGCGTTCGTCTGGCAGTCATGGATCTTCTCCATACCCTGGCATTCCTCAATGAACAAAGCATATCTGTTGATACTTTCTTGTCCTTCACCAGCAGCGTCCTTGTCCATCTCACCAACCTTCAGGATATTCTCTAGACCATCAAGAGCGACCTGGATGATCTTGTTGTCGGGGCAAGCAAGAAGGTCACACAATGGCTTGATGCAACCTTGGTTGACCAGATAGCGGATTTGCTCTGGCTTCTGAAGTCCACCAGATGTGGCGTTCGAGATAGCCCAGCACGCTTCTTTACGGGTCTTTAGGTCGCCATTGGACAGAAGATGGATGAGAGGTGGGATGATGTTCGCATCGATGACAGCTTGAATCTGGGTGGAATTGCCCGCGGTGACGTTAGAGATAGTCCAGCATGCCTCCTTACGGATACCATCTTTTCCGGAGCTCAAGAGTGACAGGAGAGCGGGAAGAGCACCGCAGTTGATGATGACCTGGGTTTGCACATCATCACCGGTGACAATGTTGCCGACAGAGCGAAGAGCGGGAGTCTGGACGGAGGTGGAGGCGTGCATGAGCAGTTCTACGAGGCGGCGAGGGATACCAGCTTCAATGACAGCCTGGATCTTGTCATTGGCACCATCAGAAAGGTAGGAAATGGCCCAGCAAGCATCAATCAGGACCTCGTCGTCCAGGGAGTATACCAGCTTAGCCAAAACCGGAAGTGCAGGCAAGATCTGCTGGAAGTGTGAGCTTGTCATCAAGCCACGGGGAGGAGGGGGTGCCTACGGTGTTCCAGTCCGGTTGGGGTGTCTTGCCACGGCAGAAGTTGCTTAGGGTCCAGGTAGCATTGCGAAGCATGCTGAGTTTTCGGCTATCACCCAATAGGCTCAAGAGGGGCTTGAGGGCACCGCAGCTCAAAACGTAGTCCCGGCATGATGGGCTATCCCCAGCAATGTTTCCCAAAGCCCAGACGGCCTGTTCTCTAACGTCGGGCTCGTGACTGAGGAGTAACTCACAGAAAATGGGGACGGCTCCAGCCTCGATAACAACTTGTGTTTGTTGTGCGGACCCGGAAGCAATGTTAGTAAGAGCCCATGCAGCTTCGAATTGGACAAGAGTATGGGGCGATCGAAGGAAGGTAACGAATCGGCTGACGACTCCGGTCTTGATGACTTCTTCGATGGGTGGGTTTCGTTCCTTGGATAGAAGCTTTCTGAACTTGGTGGTAGCTTGAATTTGGAGATCGATTTGCTCGGAGAAGACGCCCGCACACATTTGGGGGAGGTCCTCATTCAACTATAGTAGTTGACTAGTCAGCACAAGGATCCGGAAGAACAATAAAGAATGTGGGGAAGTGGCATTTCCTGGGGTTCTGTGAAGAGTGGGCCCATCCCATCCAGCCCATCAGCACAAGCGAAAAAATAATAATTTCCCGGCGGCTGCGGCTACCCCACCAGGGGAAGTAAACAGTAAACAGAGGATGGTGGCCTGAAGGGAAGAGTATGTGCTCCCGCCTCGTGTGAAAGGCTGGCCATCCCCAAGGCTGACAGGCTGGCCGGCCTACGCAGAAGGTGACAAGATGTGCGGCAAACATACCTGACTTTCGGTGGGAGGAGTATCATCATCGCTATCGGGCTCTGCGCCGAGAGAAGCCCCGGGACGAGATCCATCTGCGCCAGTGATGCCTCTTCTCTTTGCCAAATTCTCCTCACGCTTTGCTTTGCGGATCTCAACTTGTTGCTCCTCGCGACGACGTCTCAACTCTTCGGGCTTGAAGGTGTTCTTCGCCTTAAATTGAGTGCGACGATGCTCAGGGATGTAGCGTTCGGCCATGTTTACGGTGGTCGGTGTGCGGTCTGCGTATTCGAGGATATCGTAGCAGGAAGATCAGTTGCGCGTGATCGGTTCCTGGTAAAGGGTATGGTTGTATTGAGGTGGTGGAGGAGGTGAGGTGGAAGTGGTGGTGAGGGTGAGGGTGATGGTGATGGTGATGGTGATGGGTGGAGGTGGGATTGAGAGACTGCAGGTGAAGAGCTCGAACAAAGAGCCACGTGACCGGGGTAACTAAGTGGGGTGGCTCTAACTAGCGTGGTCGCGTCCCCCAACCCGAGCGCGTTTATGAAGCGAGTAGGAACAAACATGCAATTCCCCGGGGCTCAGCAATCCACCCTCATCTTTGGCATAGCAGGTGCTCTACCTTGGCCTTCAATATGAATATTCCTGTGAACTCTTCCCAGTTGGATCTGCCACTGCCCCCAGGCTTCCTGACCATCGAGGATATTCGAAACCTGCCAAATGATAAGATTGCAGCCATGACCATGATCAAAAGTGTCTTTGGCTTCGTAAAAGACTTTCAGCCGCCGAAAAAATGTGATCGAGGTACCGGTAAGCTTTCAGACCTCAATTCCAATATATTGATCTCTGCCTAATAAGCTCCAGACTACAAGTGTGCGATTGAAATTAAAGATCTCTCAACCAAATACGAAAGTTATGGCTTTAAGGTCGATGTCTTTTGGTCGGAACCAGAGAAAATGCCAAAGTTTTCTGGACCAGGTGATGTGGTCCTCATACGCAACGTCAAGGTAAACAACACAATTTGACAAGCCCTTGGCACGTCGTCGATTGTGTTCTGACAACCACAGGTCCAGATGCGGAGTGGATCCATATCACTAATCGCTAACAGAGGGACCGTCTTCCATGTTCTCCTGTCCAAAAAAATCCCGAGGAAGGATTCACCAGAAATTAAAGCTCCATGGCAATCATATCCACCAGGCAAAAGCCAGTATCCACCCAATGTTGAGGAGACCAACTACGTAATTTGGGCACATTGCCAATCTCAGGACATGGGCCTGCCGTCTAGCAATGAGTTCCAGCAGAAGTCAATCCAGGCAATTCAAGGCAGAAACCATGACAAGTTCAGCCTGCTCAAAGACATAAAGCCTGAAGGCAGATGGCATGACATTTTGGGACAAGTCATTAGACTTTACGACTCGAACCTGTTCTCAATCTATCTATCCGACTACACCTACAATAAGTACTTCCATAAGTACTCCTGGCCCGGCGTTAGAGATGAATCTGGTAGTCGAGATGGGGATGAGTTCGCATACACTAAATTTCACGATAAGCACAAAGACCAGTGGCCAGGACCCTTTGGCCAGTATACAATACAGCTTACGCTCTTTGACGAGCATGCAAGCTTCGCGCGGGAAAATCTCAAAGTTGGTCAGTGGGTTCTCTTGAGCAATGTACAGATGCAAATGGGTAAAAATGGAGGAACGCTTGAGGGCTTTGTGCGTGGAGATCGGGGTAAGATCAACGTAAGAATTTTGGAGCAAGCAGAGGGAAAAGATTGTCCCGATCCTCGGCTGAAGGATGCGTTACGTCGAAAGATGAAGTACGAATCGATACAGAAGAAGCAAATTCTCAGTGAAGACGGTGAGCTCGGTAACAAGCGAAAAGCTGAAGACGGGGAATCACTCGAGGGCAATTCCAAACAGCGTCGAAAAGCAATGCGTGCAGCAGCTGAAAAATCAGCGGCTGATCTGGAGGCAAAGGAGGCAGCAAGGCTGAATCTCAATAACAACAGTAGGTTTTTCGCAACCACAGTAAAATCTGCTGATTTCATACAGTTCGATGTGCACATCCGACCATTGAACCTTCACCGATTGAGGTGATCCTCCGGCCAGAAATGATTGTGCGAGAAGGCAGTGTCTTTGTCCCTTCATCATTTACTTGCAAAAGATACCGAGCCAACGTCCGAGTCATTGACTACGCTCCTGATAGGATCGAGGACTTTGCAGTGTGGCGTCGAGTAAGTGAATATGATCAGCTATCAGACTATAGTGGAGGGGAAGATACCGACATAGAGGAGGATATGCGGTCCTATAAGAACGGGAAAGGATATGCCAAGAAAATTTGGGAGTGGAGATTTTGGCTGAAAGTCGAAGATGCCAACCCCAAGGGACCGAAAAAGCGAATGTGGATAATCGTGGATAACCATGCGGCACAGGGCTTGTTAGGTTTAGAAAATGATGCAGCAAAGTCAGTATATTCTGCAAATGCCCCTTCCGCCTTTCCTCTTCCACGAATTACTGACCATGCATAGTCTCCGAAAAGAGCCAGACCTACTGGCTGCGCTCAAGGAACAGCTCTTCAAACTATGGGGTGACCTGGAAGAGCAGAAGTCTGCAGCTTTACCGCCACAATCTACAGCGAACAAAAAAACTCCCTCGCCAATCGACTCGACAGCAAAATCGCCAGCTAGCAACATTTACGCACAACCTGATCTCGACAGCGATTCCGAGACTGAAGAAGCTGTGTCAAAACCACCTATTCTTGAAAAGAAGCTGTCAGCTTTGAACGATCAGAACGGCAATACACCATCCGATGTCTCAAATGGGCTGAAGCCGAAAAACAAGGCATTTACCTGTTGCATACAACAGTATGGAATTAAAGAACCAGAAAAGGATCGCTCCAAAGCGAATGCCGGTGACGGAAGGAGATGGCAGCGGATTTTTGGTTTATTCGGGACGCAGATTCTCTAATCGCAGGATGACTGTTGGACAGATGTTGAAGGCACATGGGAATGAATATTGATCGAGGCATCAAGATACATATCGGCAATGAATACAGCCAAATTTACGTCACTTCACGATGTCTCTTGAGGAGTTTTGAATCACACTTGGTGAGACTTCTGCTTGGAAGGTCTATCTGCTAATTCGAGACTCGCATTCAATTCTTCAACATCTGTTTCACCGTCTCCTCGACAGGCGTCGACTTCATCCCTTTACCAGCCAACAGCCCCTCCAAAGTCGGATCCTCAATCAAACACTCTCCGCTCTCCAACGCAGCATACGTACTCGACCACCATTCCACGGACGCTCTCTCAATACCCCTCTGCACACAGCACTCAACATACTCCTCCCTCCTTACAATCCTCACACTAGCTTCCTTCCCCCTCGCTTCTGCCACCAATGCCGCAATCTCCTTCATTGACCTCGCACCCTCACTCCTACTCAAATAAAAAGTCTTCCCCGCAAACCTCTCCGTCTCATCAGCAAGCACCAAAGCGCTCCCCATCCCCAAGTCCCCAATCGCCGTCCAACTGACCTTCCCATCACCCGCCAAAAGCACTTCACCCCTCTCATCCCCTCGGGGATCAAAATACCCCAAATACAACGGCCAGCTCTCGCTGTACAGTCCTTCCCTCATGATCGTCACTTTCACTCCTGTCCCCTCCAATCCTCTCAAGAACTCCTCGGTGCGCAAGTGCGCCCTCATCACCCCAGCACCCGAACGGGACCCAAAAGCCAACGACGTGTAGTACACGTGTTCCACGCCCGCCGCGACGGCGGCCTCAATAGCACCCACGTGCGCCTTCTCTCTCCCCTGGCCGGGGGCAGCATCGTTGAAGTCCATCGCGATGTTGGGGGTGGAGATCAGGAAGAGCTTGGTGCAGCCCCTGAATGCTGCGGGGTCCGGGGTGTCGAAGTTGAAGGCGCGGACTTGGACGCCCTGGGCTTTTAGGTCGGCCCATCTCGCATCTTGGGTATCGGAAGAGGTGCAGATGATGAGTTTGTGGAGGGGAATGAGGTTGTGGGTGGTGATGGCGTTGAGGGTTGCTTTGCCTAGTTTGCCGGTGCAGCTGGTGAGGGCGAGCATTTTGGGTTCTGGAGGCTGAGGGGGAGACGACTGGGAATTTTATATATATGTACTGGATGGGTAGGGGGCGTTTGTGTTGTTCCTTTATTGATTTTTTTTTTTTTTCGATTTTTGTCTGACTAATTGATTGCCTTGTGTTGTAGATACGTCATTGTCCTCATATTTATCCGGTTCTAGGGTTCTCTTCCCCAAAGAAATACAACGATCCTAATGTTAAATCCCTTTCTTTGCTCGTGGAAATTTTGCCTTGGCTTTTCAGCTGGTTTCTCGAGTTTGAGCTGAAGTCTGCTCCTATTTATTGTAAGGAAAGTTCCCGAACCGCTTTTCAGCTCAACATAAGGTATTTAGATTTCGGCACAGTGCCGGAAGTGACAGTCGACTTCACATATTCTTGTCAAAGCCTAAATTTGTTCTCAGACAAAGTGATTCTTTTGTCATTACCATTTTTCTGCTCCTCCGCCATCTTCCAGCACAGCTGGCTTCTCGTCATATCTCTGGTCCCTCCTCGCTCTCGTCCACTGCTAGAAATCCATCTTTCCCTTCGCATCCTTCATACTCGTACTAGGATGCAGGACGAACCCCGGAAATTGATTTTGCCAATGTCGATTGCTGTGGCCCATCGAGAGCCGTGCCAGCGGACTCAGCGGTGGCGGCAGTAACCTCCTCCCGGGCGCGATTCTGGGCCCAGCAATAGTATTCCCATTGCTGAAGCCCCATAGATCGCCGCCGTCGCCGTCTCTCAGACTTAAGCTGCGGCCCATGGATAAATGCAGAGGCGATCCGAGAGGCTTGAAGATGGGAGAGGACGGGGGGGAATCGGCGGTGTATCCGGTGCGGCGTCTGCGCAACAGGCGGCGGATCAGGAAGATGATGCCGAGGAAGATGGCGGTAGCTGCTACTAGGCTCGCGTTAGCTTTGGCAGAACCTTGAACTCGGAGAAGAGTACATACGAGCAATCCCAACAGAACCGACTATCACGGTCGTCTTGCTGCCTCTGCCAAGAGGGGTATCGATGCTGCTATCCATGGTAATGCTTCCATCTAAGTCTTTTCCACCAGATGGCCCCCCTGCGCTCGTGCCACTGCCTACTTCAAGTGCGGGTACTGAGTTTGTTGGGAGGGGGCTGGCTACTGCTGATAGGGCCTGGCCTATTGCGGAGGCAGAGGATGATATGTGTTTTGCGGACATGACGGGAAGGAGTGTTGATATTTTTGTCTGGGATATCGCTGTCGATTCTTGCTTTTTGGCATGGGAAGATGTAGTTTTTGAAATCGGGCTCGTTGATTTTTCGGCTGCCGTGGTTGATGCTGAAGGACTGCCGGTCGATGATGGTATTTTAGCTGCCGGAGCTGATGTAGGAGAGAAAGGCCTAGGAGAGACGGATGGAATCGAAGTAGGTGCCAAAGCGATTGGGGACGACTTTCTAGCTCTCCTCGAGGTGACTGGGGCATATGTAGCATCAGGAACGGTGGCTGAAGCCGGAGTTGAACTGGGTTTTCGAGAATTTGATGACTTGAATGCAGGTGCAAATGGAGCCACGCCTGGCGCCGTGGACGAAGCTGGGTTCTTGATACACTCTACTGAGGTTGTTGAATCAGTGGCAGTCAAACTGGATTTTTTAGCCTCCGATATTCTCTTGGATGAAGTCGGGCCTGTAGAGACGCTTGTGTGCTAGACATATTAGCAAGGCTACCCAAATTCCGGCCACTTTGCTTACAGCTACGGCTCCTTTTTTCGAATATGTAATGAGATGATGCGTAGTGGAGTCGACGGCGTCCGTTCGCGGTGCTCTGGTATGCGTAGGCAAGATTATAGACGTTGTAAAGTTCGCCGAAGTACTCTCAGCTCCCGAATTTGAATTATCCTTCGATCCCTTCCTTCTATTCCAAACCAGCTTCTCCGGTCCATCAAGCACCGTCGCTTCTCGGCGCTGGAACATGCCAGTCATCATATCTCAACTATTCAGAAAGAACAAAAAGACCCATTGAAAAGCGAAGAGCCCTCTCATAAGAAAGTAAGTATGACTCGAATGCCGAGCCCAGCGGAACACGTTGGCGTCGTACCCGGGTGATTTATATTGGCAACAGCAGAGCTACAAGGGAAGAGAAGAATAAGCAAGTGCGAAGACTCATGTATCTAATCTCTATGAAGCTTTTCTTCGGGATGAAACCCGTCGGATATATGGCAACAACCTGGTCTTCGTCATCGTCGTCCCTACTCATGGCCTGGGGGCTCGCTTCTCGCTTATCCCTCCGCTGACCCCTTTTTGGGCGGCGCTCAGACGCGACATACGGAAGACACGCCATCTGAAATCAGTGAGTGGACGGTATTTCTCAGATCTGGACAACGCTCTTGAAGCTGCCAGCTGATGATTGCTTTCGAGATGTGAAACGCCCGGCGTCGTTTGGAAGTTTTACAATGTCATGACCCGCGTGTTGTTGGTAGGGCGGCTGCTCGCTTAAATCTGTTCCAGACGTTCGGGGCTGTTTCTGCGCCGTGCAAGCCTTGCGCGCTTGTGCCATGCCGTTAATGGCGACCATTCTGGGGCGGAATCATCGTCCCAAAAATCTGAATGCATGGAAAATCGAACTACATTCTGCCGGCTTGGCTAGGTCATGTTGGTTCGCCGGGGATGACCAAGTTCGGGGCTGGAGAGCCGTAGGGCACAGAATGCCGCTCTCTCAAATTCTCGAAGTCTTTCTTTTATTGTTAAGACGGATCCTATGCATACGAGACCGTTTGATCGTGGCGAGGTCAGTTTCTGGTCTTGATGTTGCAAGAGGTGTCGTTCAGATATCAAAATAAATACCTTTCCACTTCACAGTTCCCTCGCACTAGACCAAGCCGGCTAGTTAGTAAATCAACGAATTTACCAAAATACATGCAATATTTTTAATATATCCGCGTATCAAAATGATGTGACCTTTTGTTGAAAATACTATAATTTGTATCATAAGCTCTAAGATATCTATTGTCGTCAACGCAACTCTACGTAGATTTCGGTGCCCGCCCCTTCTGATAGGATTGACGTTGCTCTACAGTATAATCGGGATTTCTCTTTGCAGGCAGCATAATTTTAGCCGATACGATGGTTCCAATCGGACAGGATAGTCTCTCGAGCTGTTTCGTTCGAATCCCGAGATGGAAACCTCGAAGAAATATACCGTCCGCTCGGCTAGACACACGCAACCCTTCACGTGCGGTAGTGTATCATCTTCTCCAATACCCAACACAAGTTCTGCAATGACGTCGAAGAGAAGTTTAGACCAAATTCTCATGCGAGGGAAGTACGCCATTCTCGGTTGTTGAGGTGTTATTTTTGGAGTGTCACAGTTTCGGCACAGAACGCGGGGGAAGGTATATTGCCGAATACGATTGATAATCTGTGAACGGACGCAGTTGGAATCGATTTGACTCTTTAGAATTTGAGAACATTTTCGGGATCGAGTTTGAAAAGCTGGTACTTCTTGATTGATGCATGAGAATGAACCTATTGGTGGGGTTTTCAGATGACAGTAGAATACCTCCACACTCTCAAACTGACCGTGAAAAACATGCTTGACGTTGTCCCAAAATGAGCTGGATTATTGTATGAAGTAGACGTTACTCTAACTAACCGGAGATCTTCGAATTAATTACCAGGGCTAAGTCGCAGTATTCATAAACTGACGCTCATTTACGCTTCTTCGCTGCCCTCTTCTCACCCCTAACATCCTTCTTCAACCTAGCATCAACAATCTTGTACTTGCCCTTCACACCTCTCGGTCTCCCTGCAATAGCCTTGTTGTTTCCCCTCGCAACCACAACCTTAATCTGCTGCTTAGGCTTCTTCTTTGCAGCCTTGCTCATCAACTTCGCGATACTGGTCGCCTTCTCCTTCTCAGTCATACCCTCCTCGTCTTGAAGTAAGGCAGACTTCTTGCGCAATTTCTCGAGGCGCTGGGCGGCCTTGAACTTCTTTCTGTCTTTGGCTTCGCGTACCTTCTTAATAGGTCGGGCGTTTAGGGCACGCAGCTTTTCCTTGATGGCTGCAGCTCCAGCGGCGGTAATTGGACGATGGGGCTTATCATGTCTTTGTTCATCATCCAAGAACCATTCTGGAAGTCCTTCCCGGTCCTTGAAAGCATACTTGTTGAATCCCTCATCAATCAATTCTCGAGTGGTAACTTCTCCCGAAGCGATCTTTTGGGCTAATGACATGGCTTCTGCTGTGATTATATCGATATCTGTCTATGTTAGTAATTTGGAGAGAGCACCGAGGTACAATCTCTACTTACCGAGCTTGCCGTCTTTTCGCGGTTCTTGCTCTTCCCACTCTTTTTCTGCGGCAGTCTTCTTAACTACTTCGAAGCCGTCCTCGTCATCGCTACCGTCTATTGAATCGGCCATTGGAATTTCCTCTTCGGGCTCCTCCTCTTCTGCCATTGGTCGTATCGTCTCCAGCTCCTCGAGAGCAGCAGAAATCTCCTCTTCACCCTCTGCCTCAGATTCGGGTTCTTCCGGAAGTAATTCCCCGATATCCTTGAAAATATCCTGGTCAAAAAATTGAGCTGCGCGCCTTGACAGACCACCAGCTTTCATATCTTTGCCTTTCAAGTCGGTAAGCAGAGGTCTTTTGGCAGGTCGCTCGTCGTCTGATGACTCGTCGCTACTATCTTCCTCGAGCTGGTCGTTGTCGCTAGCCTCTTCTCCCGCTGAAAAGCCCTCCCAGTCACCATCCTCGTGCTCCTTTCGTGCCTTCCGCGCCTTGAACTTGGCATCACTATCTGACTTTCTCTCTTGGTACTGGCTATACAACGAGTCCAGTTCTCTGTCCAGATTGTCCTCTTCCTCATCGCTCTCGCTATCGTCGTCGTCAGATCCAATTCCGTCTATATCTTTGCGTCGGTCTGCTTCGGTCAAAATTGCCATCTTTCCCTTCGTAATCTTGTCCACAGCACCCAATTTGTCGACAGCTTTCAGCCCGAACATAGAGCCCTCCCCATTAGGGCCCGCTTGCTCCATACCAATCTCTGTAGGAACGGTCATGTGAAGTTGCATGCGGATAATCTCCCGTTGCTTCTTCTCATTTTCCCTTCTACGTTCGCGTTTTTTCCGTCCGCTCTCCTTTTCACTCAATGCCTGCAGCTCCTCTTGAATCTTCAACTCTTCGTCCATAGGTTCTACTTCCACCACCTCTTCGTCTGCTGGTGCCTTGGACTTCTTTGTTGCCAATCCAAACAGCTCTCTGACTTTCAAACGCCATTTGAGCAGCATTCTGAACTCTTTCCTACCCAGAACTCTGATATCTGCGCAGGCGACCCGGATGTCTTCTGTCGTCTCAGGTAGCTTGTCGATTGCTGCGAGTGCAACATCACCGTTCGGGGGTTGTTGGAAGCTCAGTCGGCTCATTCCACCAAGAATGGCAATAGGATCTGTCGTCTGGATGAACTCGCTAGCAGTCACCTCCTTAAACTGGGTGTAGTTTCCCTCCTCGTATCCATCTCTCTTGCGCTTCTTGATCTCAGGGTTGAAGACCTTGGCTTCGTTGTTGGGTGTAGGATCCGAGAGTTCTGCAAACACTGATTTAGGGTCAAGGAACTTAGGATCGATTCGCTTTGGGGCTTTGTAGCCACGACATACGACGAAAATTTCTGCGGAAACGTTTCTCGACGAAGGGGGTTTCGTTGCCTCGACCTTGGCGAACAATTGATTGAAGACCCAGAGAAGACTGTTGTAGTCCTTGGATCGAAAGACCTTGGTGACGAAGGTGCCTCCTTCCACCAAAAACTCTGTCGCAAGTTTCATGGCTTGGAGAACCAATTCTGCCTGGTTGAACGAATCTTGTACCCAAGCGGTACCAACATTGGGAGCTCCATCGTGAAGTACCGTGTCCGCCTTCCAGGTCTTGAAATGTGATCGAATGGTAGCTCGGCACTTATCGGTCGTAATGTCACTTTGGAAGGAAATAACTCGAGGGATCGCTTTGATCGGGGAAAGATCCACACCGACGATGAGACTACCGACCGGCATGCATTCTGCAGCTACTTGACACCAGGACTATAATCGCATTAGATACTGTAATGGAGATGGAGAGCAGAAAATTTAGCTTACTCCTGGGGCGGCGCAAAGATCCAGCAAGACCTTGCTCTTCTCCAAAAACCCATATTTCTTGTTCAACTGAATCAATTTGAAAGCAGCTCTCGCACGGTATCCTTTCTCTTTGGCTAGCTTGTACCACTTGTCGAGACGCCCCTTACCGTGCTTCTTTTGAATACCCATATTCGCGGATTGGTGAATTGTGGTTGGGCTCTGCAGAGGCTTTGGAAATGGGAACTTTTTGCCGTGCGGCTCGTGCGGGCGGTCGGCTAATTTTTTTTAAGCCTTCGCACCAAGATTAGATAGCCTGCTAACGCCCCACCTTTATGAGCCATTGCGGCGCTTATTAAGCGCCAGGTGCACGACGCGTCAGCAACAAAGCGCGACTCTTCTCGCGTATAGTGCTTTCTAAAACCTCGAAATAACAGCCCCTTCAACTCACGACAACCGCAGCCCGACTCGACATACAATCAGCCTTGGGCCGAAGCTGGAAAAATATCCAAGATGTCGTCGCCCCGAATCACAGACTACCAGGCGCCTGCGTCGACCGAAGAACTTCCAGTATCAGATCTCGCCTCCAAGAATCTCACTCCTCCCCGTTCGACGAAGAAGAGGAAAGAGCGTCGAGATCCCTCCGTGACACCCCGAAAGTTCAAGAGATTCTTCACGCCTCAATCATATAGGAGTGCGGTGAACCCCGTTTCCAGAAAATTCCTGAACGACATCACAGCACAGCCTGCCATGAACCGAAATACTCAGTCGAGTCCTTTGCGTCCTTTTCGAAGACTGGTCACCGGTCAAGATAGCAGTCCCCTAGGCTTTGCCAGCAGAGAATCGAAGAGAAGAAAGGTCCACGATATGGTGAATCAAGGAAAGGAGGTCGGATATGTTGGACCGCACGACGGAGTCATGTCTTCGCCTTGTGAGCGCGCAGTCAAGTATTCCGGAGAAATGGATACTGAATGCGAGTCTGAGGATGAGGACGACGGGATTCTACCACCACATGGGACTGTCAAGCGGACTGTGCGACTGGAAGAACGTGGACTTGGAGGACAGCTGCTGCGCCGGAGTATTGGAACCAACACACGCCAACGCTTTGCTCCTGTAAATGGTTTGTGTTCTACCTTATATGCTATAGAACTCTTCTAACTTCGTGTAGACTGGCGTGACAATACGGCGGGTTTCTACAGCAAACCCGAAGATGTTCACACCAGTATGAGTCTCTTACCGCCGAGGCAGCACCAGCCGCAAGGCGCACGCACTATTCCTTTCTGTGTTCAGGGCCTCAATAGTAAGTCTAGATCCATATAACGCCATGGTACAGCCTAATTCGTCCACAGGAGAAGATAGCACTCTTGTTGCACTAGCAGATGAAGAAGGCAATTTTCGAATTCTGGAGTCGGCTAAAGGCGGACACCCTCCATTTAGCAAGAGCCTCTTTCATGACCTTGTTCACAAAAACGCCATTATTGATATGGTATTCAGCGAAGATGATAGTCGACTAGCAACATGCTCTGGAGATCAAACCGCACGAGTCTATGACATGCACACCAAAGCCACCCTCAACATTCTCGGAACTCACGCGGCCTCGCTAAAACAGGTTCGTTGGCAACCTGGCTCAGGCAACAATAACATTCTGGCAACGTCAAGCAGAGATGGCACTATTCAACTCTGGGACTTGAGATGCAACACATCTAAAGGCGCTACTTACCCCTTCTTTTACCCTACAATGTATGATCCTGCAGATATAAACCCAACGGTCGTGTTCAATCGACATATTACCTGTATCGGCGGTGCACACAAGACCCCGACGAGACTTATGCCTGCGATCGGAACATTCGACCAAGTAGTCCGCCCTGATGAGATGGTCCCAAGAACGGGAGATGTTTCAGTCACAGCTATCCAATTCTTGCCAGCAGGCCGAGAGCATCTTCTGATATCGGGTTCCGAATCAGACGCCTCCGTGAAACTCTGGGATATGCGCCAAAATAACTTCAAACTCCGACCAGGAGGCGCTCTTGCCTCGACCACTCCCCCGCAATCTCACAGCAAGTTTCGCAACTTTGGCATCAACTCCCTGAACATGAGTGGCGACGGCAGCAAATTCTACACATTATGTAAAGATAACACCGTGTACGCTTACTCGACCGAACATCTCATGCTAGGACAAGCCCCCGAACTCTCCTACACCGCCAAAACTCGCCCACCGTTCCCCCACACCAACCGTCAAGGTCTGGGCCCCTTATACGGCTTCCGTCACCCCAAACTCCACGCCACAAGCTTCTACGTCAAATCCGCAATCCGCAAAGCTCGAAATGGAAAGTGCGAGATGTTGGCTGTAGGCAGCAGCGATGGCTCACCTGTCCTCTTTCCCACCGACGAACGCTATCTTCCCACCAGAGAACAGCTCATGAGCCCCGCTACGGGAACCCAAAGTTCACCTGCCCTCCTCGAAACCCGCCCAGCTCTACGCAGACTTGGCAGCTCCAGCTCACACGTGGACGACACTCTCATCATTTCCACGAATGGTACCTCTCTCGAACGGGGCCACGAGCGCGAAGTCAGTTCTCTGACCTGGACTGCGTCGGGAGACCTGGTCACAGTGGGCGATGATTACCTCGTTCGGTGCTGGAGAGAAGATCGCGACGAAGCGAAGAGCTTACGTGTCGGTGGCGAGCAAGAGGGCCGCAGATGGGGCTGTGGATGGGCGGATGTTGAGGCGGATTACGATGTTGATGATGACCAGGTTTTGTGAACCACGCTGAGACGATTATTTTCTCTCGTCTTGGCGGATGCAGAGAGAAGAGATCATCAGCATTCCTTGCGTCTTTTTCTGGAGATTCGATACCACGGCTGTTCTTGGGCGGCGTTTTTCCTGCAGGATGAGTACAAAAAATAAGAGAGAGAGAGGAGCGTCGTAAAGTCTTTT